TTAATTATAACCTTTTTTTCTTTTTTATAAAGTTTTTCTTTTTATTTATTTAAGAATTTCTAATTATTCATTTAAGGAACTTTCTTATTCTAATCATCTTTCAAATATTATTCTATATTATAAAGAGTATAAGATTATATATATTCAAAATAACAAATCTTTTATAAATTATTTAGAATTTTTATATAATAAAAGCTTTTTATATAATAATAGATATATAGAATTATTTCGATATTAGAATTCTCGATTTCAATTATAAAACAAGATTTCTTTTTATTCTTTCGATAAATTTTGTTAAATTATAAATTATTTATAATAAAAAAAAAATTAAAATATAAAATAATAAAAAAAACTATTAGATTATATACTAATTATAAACAATCAAGAATAATACTTAATTAAAAAGAAAATAATATTACAAAATCATTTTATAGAATATTATAAGATAATAATCAATTTATCTTTATAAGCTTTAATTTTATTAAAAAGTAAAACAATTTGTATATAAATTTGTATAACAATTGTTTTATATAATCTTTTTATTTTTAACAAGTTTGAATATATAATTTGATTTTAATTATATAATAAAATCTTCAAAAGTATAGATTTCTATAAACTCCTTAAAGTTTTTAAAATATAGATTTTGAAAACTTTCAAAAAGGATTAATATATAATCAAAATAATTTCATAGTTTAGAAATTTCATACTTAATTTAATTATCAATTAATTTATCTATATTCTAATTAATTTAATAATATATTCATCTTCGAATAAATAACCAATGATTATTAACCTTAATCTACAACTACCAATCATACGAAAACCTGAGACAGCTACTGCCTCGACCAGATCGTTATATTTCTATACCTTTTTAACTTCTAGATTATATTTATTATATTCTTATACTTTATTGAAAAATAAAGAATTTATATTCACAATATATCTTTTAATATTATTTGTCTCAATATTTTCCTTAAATATTATATAATAAATATTATTATATATTATTATATATTATTATATAAAATACTAATAAAATAGAATAATTATAGATTTTATGTTTTTTAATAAAATTAAATTTCTTCTTTTTATAATAATATTATATCTGTTTTTTATTTAAATAATTGATTAGATATTATAATTCATTTTTCTAAAACAAATGATAAAATTCAATTGATTATTAATTCTTTTTTAATTTCTCAATTGGTTCTTTGTTTTCTGATTCGAAGTTTTTTGAAAATTCTTTTTTGTAATCGATATTATTCTTAATATTAGTTTTAAAATTTTAATTATTGATATTTAATTTTTTTAATTATTTAGAATTAGATTGAAATAGTTTTTTTTTCAATAATCTTATTTCCTTTAAGTTTTCTTTTAAAATCTTTGTTTTTCGAGAATTTTATCTTCTATTCCCAAATTTTATTTATTTCTTATTTCTTATAATAAATGATTTCTTTTTTTAAAAACAATTTCAAGATATATATCTACTTTTTCTATAAATATAATATAAATTATTCTCTTTATATTTTTTCTTTTTATCAATATTTAAATTATTTAGTTTTATATAATATTATTTGATATTATTTAATTTCATTAAATCGCTGATATTATAATATCTATTCTAATAATAAGGTTTTTAGAATTTCCTGCTTTTTTAAATGATTTCTTTCTTTTCCATTTGTTATTTATAAAATTGATTATCAATAAAAATAAAGATTTTGATTAATTTGAAAAGATTAAATAGTTTGAAGTTTTTATTAATTTGTTCTTGATAATATCTTTCAATTCTTTATAGAATTATAATTTTAGATAATTATTATTTTATATAATATATTTGATATATTATTGAAATTTGATAATATAAACTATAATTGATTCAATCTATTTGAATTATTGTAATACTTTTTCAATTATATAATCAGGATCTACTTCCCCAAATACTTTATCGAATCTTTATTTGAACAATTTATAACTAAGAAAAAAATAATAAATTTCAGATTTTATACTTTTGTTCAATTAATTATCAATAATCTTGATTATTAAATTATTGAAAAATGATTCAATTCAATTAAATATAGTTTTTTGAAAAAAGAAGATCAATTATAAAATCTTTTGTATAAAAATCAAGAAAAATTATTTATTAAAAATATAATAAAGATTAATTTATATAATAAAAATTCAATATTTATTATAATCTTTATAAAATAAATTAAAAATAAATATCTGAATTATTTGTTTATATTCTATAATAGTAACAATCTGAATAAAGACTCCGATTAAATTAAACAAAAACAATTCGATAAATTATTAATTGGAAATCATTATATTATATATAATTTAATTATAACAATACTCAAAATATAACAATCCAATTGAAATAATAATTGCTTCAGGATTTGTTTAATTAATAATTATAAATTAAAATTAATAATTATTAATTATTTATTCAAAGATAAATATATTATTAAATTAATTAAAATATAAATAAACTAATTGATAACTAAATTAAATATAAAACTCTTAAATTATAAAATTATTTTTGATTATATATTTATCTCTTTCTTGTATATTAATTATATTAATTGATTAATATAACTAATATTCCTATGATATTAACTTTGTTAACTGATTAACAAAGCTAGCATATCACGTGATTGAGGATCAGATTATATGTTCAAGTTTGTTGAAAGTGAGGAGATTATATAAAGCAGTTATTATATAAATTTGTATACAAATTACTTTGCTTTTTAAAAAGATCCAAGCTTATAAGGACAGGTTAATTGTTACCCTGTAACATTCTATAAAATGATTTCATAACAAGGCCCTAGCTTCTTTATAATTTTCTATTATAATCTATTAGAAAAATTAATACTGTTATACAAATAATAAAGATAATTTAATTGTGATTAAATATTTGAATTCATTGATTAATTTTATTATATTTTCATCTTTTAAATTTCTAAATATCTCTTAATTTGATCGATTTCGAAGTGATGATTATATTTACTTTTTTATATAATCATTACTTTCTTATCAAAAATTATCATTATCGATAATGATCATTAAAAAAATTCTTATAATACTAGTTAAAAAATAATAATAATTTAGAAGTAGATCTTTTTCAAATTTATTATAAAAATTCTATTTATAAATAACAAAAATATCTTCAAAATCAATTTCAAGATTTAGAAAATCTTTATATTATAAAAAAAATATAAATTATAGAATTTTTATAGAGATTCGCTTTTAAAAGAATATTTTAAAGGAAAATCCTGTTTTGATAAATTTAATTTTGAATTGTAAAGTTATATAAATAAAGTATATATTCATTTTTTAATCAAAACAATAAGGTTTTCAAATTTGTTTAATTTATTGAATAATCAATTATAAATAAAAATAGAATCGAGAATAAAATTAAATGATTAATTTTATTTTATTAATATATTTTCAATTGTAGTTATTGTAATTAATTGATTTCAAAATTCTTTGATAGAAATATACTTGAATTTTATATCGAGGAATTTAATCAAGATATATAAATAGTATATAAGTCCTCTACCCTACATTCCGATCACTTTATCACGATTCACAGTTTTCATTATAATAGTATTATTAACGTTGATGATTTATATACCGACTACAGAAGGGATATTATTTAACCATTGCTTTCGGGGGTCCTGATTACCTAAGCCTAGAACCCCAGGATTCCTAGAATAAGTATTCTAAACAATTATAATAGAATAGAACAAGTATTCTATCTAATTGATTGAAATAGAATTATCATTTTAAAGAATATCGTATTCTAAAGTTATAGTTCTTAGAAGGAAAGCTTTTAGGACAAATATTCTAGAAAAGGAAAGGTTTTAGAATATAAGAGGCTTCAGGATTAATTATATAATATATTAATCCTATTAACCAGTTAACAAAACTAGTATTATAGGAATACTAATTATACTAACCAGCTAGTATAATTAGTATAAAAAAAGAGATTAATATATAATCAGAATAGTTTCATAGTTTAGGAACTTCATACTCAACTTAATTATCAATTAGTTTATTTATATTCTAATTGATCTAATAACATATTCATCTTCGAATAGATAACCAGTGATTATTAACCTTAACCTACAACTACCAACCATACGAAACCAGAGGCAGCCGCTGCCCCAACCAGATCGTTACACACTCCTTCATTTTGATCACTTTTTATATCAAAAATCATAAAAATCAGTCTTTATAACTTTCTTATTTGTGAATATAATTAAATAAAAATTAAATCCTAGGTTTATTACTTATATAATAATAAATTCTGAGAATTTCAGATTTTTTATAATTTAATTGATCGAGATATCAAAAGTTGAAATTTGATTGTTAATTTGTATACAAATTATATATAAATTTAAAATTTTGAAAATCTTGAATAACTTTTTAATATAAATTATTAAAAATAAAATATAAATTTTTTTGAAATATTTAAATAAATATTATTTAGAAATTTCTTATTATAATAAAAAATAATTTGTAATTGATGATTTATTAAAATTTTACGATTTCCTATATAAATATTTTGTTAGTAAATAATAAGTTGAATGAGATGAATTGAATGAATAAAGTTGAATTGAATGATTTTAAAAATGAATGATTTTAATAAAGTTGAAAAAAGTTCCAATTCAGATTTATCTGAGGTTGTAAGGCTTATGCCAAGCTTTTTGTTAGATTATTTACCGGAGTATTTACCGGGGTATTTCAGGCCAATCAGATTGTCAGGATCGCGACTCACTTAAACGAGTTTCTCATTTTCCATCATCCACCAGGTAAACCTCATGTACAGCAAGGTTATAGTGTCGGCAAGCCTACAATTATAAACTTTGAATACATCAGACGGATCCAAGTTAGCACAGGAAGACGTCGTTGAGTTGACAGCTATATACCGACTTCTGAATGATAAAGCACAAGTAAAACTAAGGGGTCAAGTTTTTTCAAAGATTATCAATTGATTTCATAAAAGCGAACATTATATTCTTTATAGTCTATTCTATTCTCTATAGTCTATTCTTTATTCTAAGTATTAATACATGATAATTCTAAGGCTTTGGAAGCACAGTTTCTTTCATGCTAATTCCAAATTTGATAATGAATCCCAACCCAAGTCTTACTCATTCTCTGCAACGTCAATGACTGTCGACTGGAACTTCCTAGCAGAAATCTTACGATTGAACAGAATATCTGTTTCACGGTAAGATCGGTGCTTGAGCTCGGGAAGGAAGAAGTAGGCCATCACGAAACAGACGACCGAGGTACCACCCCATACAAAACCGCACTTTCCTGCAAGATTCCATCCTGTTGAGTTGAGCATTCTTGAAGCAAGATAAATCATAGGAATTTCGGCAACATAGTAAGCAGCACGACCAACACCAGTGCTCAAAGCTCGAAGTCGAACCGATGAAGTCTCGGCAATGATAGTGTAGGAAATTGGTCCGAGAGTTCCAGCAAATACGAAAGAGATAACGATTCCTAAGCATGCCTGAGCATAATTCGTGCCGTGGGTTTGTTTGATGGATGCACAAATCCCAAGAAGTATAAGCAAAATGAGGTTGATGATTGTTCCCCCAAGGTAGATGGTTCGACGACCAAATCTTGCACTGAGTGGCCAAGAAAGAGCATTGGCAACAAATTGAAGACATGAGTTGATAAGGTTAAGTTTGAAGGAAAAGTCAGAGGAAATTCCAGCTTCTAAATGGAGAGTTAGTTGACCGTATTTCCAATTGTGAAGTAAAAACACTTACGCTCGAAAAAGAAAGTAGCCTGATTGGCAATCAAATTTCCAGTGAAGTTTTGCGACGCGTAAATCAAGCAAGTGATAATGGTACGTCTCAAATCGGTACCCTTGAAAAGGTCAAAGATAGTGGGATCACCTCCTAGTTTCTTTTCTATTTCAACAGTGCGCTCCATCATAGCAATTTGTCCTTCACAGTGCTCCTGAGTGTTGCGACCCAGACGTTTGACAGATCGAAGGGCTTCTTCTTTGCGTCCGTGGCGCATCAACCACCAAGGTGATTCAGGAGCGAAAAGGATAAGGACCAGGATGGGAGTCTAGACGAGTAAGCTTTTAAACATTCAATTTGTGAGAGGAAAAGACTTACGGGGAACATCCATTGCAAGGCAAGAGGTGCTCTCCAAGCCCACTCGTTATCCTTCTTATTGTATGCATAGGTGGCACCAGCTACAATGATGTTACCAATAGACCAAGACATTTGTAGAGTAGCCGTGCATGCACCTCGAAGGGAAAGAGGAACGACTTCACTGGCGTATGCTGGGGCGTTTGCGATAAAAAATCCCCAAGGAACACCTTCAAATGCTTGTCCAATGGTAAGAACAGCGAGCGAATCGGCCTAAGGTACCAATACAGTCAGCTAATGGGCGCAACAATATAGTGACACACATGACTTACGAAGAAAGAGATGAAGATTGTAGCATTCATCAAGACCAAACCCAGAACGGTAGTCCAACGATATCCGAGACGGTTGGTAACAGGACCGGCCAAGAAAACACCAACAAAGGCACCACATTGGCCGGCTTGAAAGAGTGCACTTTGCCATTTCGTTTCGATAGAGCGTGTTCCATCTGCATCAAGAATACCGTATCGATTTTGAAAAGCCGTGAGTGCAACAAAGTTACCATTCAGAAACATATCAAATGATTCCATGACCTGATGTGCATTAGCTAAAGTTCTGCCAGATGCCGTAATGATTATCAAGGACTCACGATAGTGAAACAAAATAGGAATGCCCAAAAGCAAGCCGTTGGGTGCTGTTTAGCTGCCTCCCACATGCCCATCTCATGCTCACGATTCTCAACATCCATAGCATTGGATATGAGCTCCTTGCTGGCTACCTCCTCGGTATGACCAATTTCATGCTCCTTGAGGTCATCAAGATCGACCTTCTCGTCGCGCATATTTGTCCCCGTCGACTCCATTTTGTAGGTTCTCACCACGTTTTTTTGGTCTTTTCGAACTATCGTGACTGGAGTTGAGGATGAAACAAGCTCGGCAGCTTCAGCTGAGTGCGAAGACGGTACAGTGGATTTTTAACACCACGTATAGAAGATGGCTGTTTGACGATACCAATTGAGCGTTGTCACACAAAAGGAATGAAGACAGAAAAAAGTAAATAGAAAATACGATGGGGGTTCGGTCCATTATATTTTGTCCTTCTGTGCACGTTCGACTATATGCTTATTGGTGGTAAAATCCACACTGCATGGGGTAACTGCCCATGCAGTGTGGATTGTCTCGATAGCTTCTTTACGGGAAGCATCAACTTTGATCCATGTAAGCACCAATGGAAAAGGCTTGAGTTTTAACAAAATGTATGCGCACGAATCAGAAATAACTTCATTCCATAGATAGCTTCTTTACCAACCTACGCTCCCCGCGCCCCGTACTATGACATTAGTTCTCCCCAATCATGCTAACCCTTCGAGATCGTTGAGATCAATTTCCCCGCGCTCCACATAAATCCGGAGTTAACTTTTCCCAGTCACACTCTCCGTGCGCTATTCTTGCGGAGCAAACATGCGGTGTGTTCCCCCGGCGGTATTATGAAACGAGTGAAATAGTTGAGGCGAAGTTGAGCATAGAAAACAAGATTTGACAATTGCATTTTTAACAACCGCATCTTTGGAAATGCCTGGAAGGAACAACGCCACCTTTTCTTCAAAAAAGGGAAAGATCGACAATTGAAGTCGTTTTGACCGTTCCATCGGACTCGCACGGGAGAAATAGAGGCCGCGCTTTTAGGTTAGTCCGCCTTCTATGACCACATGACTCTTGGAGCAGCAGCTTTGTATGTATTTAGTATTTGCCACCAGATTTACATAAGGCGCTGGGCTTGAACTCAAAAGCGATCATCGAGTTAGTAATTGGACGGTGTCGATGCGGAACACGTGGGACCAAGCTTTTCAAGCCATTTCTAACGGGAAGGCAAAAAGCTTTTTTTAACGATCCAAAAGTTTTTCACGCACGAAGGGCAATTGATGATTTCCTGCGATTCCGGGAGGACCGGTATCGTTCATGTATGCGCGATATGCCTCGGTATGGAATACGAGGATGTGTCAAAACGCAAGCTGACGATAGGTACCACCTAGTAGTTACAGTAAGTATGTTTTCCACGTCTTTGACAATCCCCACTAAGACAACGTGTTCGCCTCAAAAACCCCGGAGAACATTACTTTTGTGGAACAGTGGGGGATGGGGGGCTGGGATGTAGTACTGGAGAACATCACTTTTCCATCCCATCCAAAGAGACTCGCCGAGTATCCTATCTCTAGTTCTTGACCTCAGCAAGGTTGATGCTAATCTGATAATCTCAGAACATTGACGGACGAAAAAATAACCTGTACACAAGGCCAAAGTCTCAGTTCTAGACTATGGAGTGCTCTTGGCGTTGTCTCAAAGCACGTGAACTTGGAAGCATGGGAAACCATACATTTGACTTAATTGATTCGAAATATGAAAGTAAGACTTATGACTACCCCAAAGTTCAGCCCAACCTCAATACCGTCTCGGCAGACGAAAAAACCAAGAATGCTGAAGAATAAAGTTACTCACACTCTCGAACTAACTCAACCCTTCAAAAGACTAGACAAGCCCAAGCGATCAATCTCATCCCTCATTGATCAATCTTAATCTCAACTTAATTTCTTGGCTGCTTGGCTGATAGGACCGAGGCGAAAATGATTGGACATTTCTTTCTACCTTCTAATGAATAGTCGAGGAACACTGAATGAAAATTCGACAAACCAAGATGCATCCAGGATGTCAATTCTTCCTATCGATCTAAAAATATTTGAGAGCACATGTTCTATCGACATCTCGCAGAATTGATAAGGTTACCCACTGGTCCTAGATCTTAGTGGAATAGAGGCCGTCGCCCGTAAATGAAACTTCAGCCAATTCGGCAGCGAGTCTTAAGAACTCGGATTCTAACACGATATGTTGTGCAGCTGAAGAAACTTCTCCTGCATGCATCGTTCCATATTCTTAGGTACACACAATGTAATCTTTCGTACCGTAGGGAAATCGCTGATGCGGCTGAGAATTTCATGCGATCAGCTACCCATTCTAAGGATAGATTTGATCCATTTACGTCGGTGAGGTCTTGCCTCTTCCATTTATGCCATGAGGAATTTGGACAAATCCCAGTAATGTTCCAAATGTCTCCACAGCACAATGATATCGATTTGGTAGATTTTTCTTTCGATTCCACCTCTTCGAATCCTTCCAAAAATGTGACCTTCGTTTATAAAAGGTCGAGGATTCGTCGCCAGAAGTCGCCTTGCTAAATCAGTGATAAGTAAACCCAAGAGATTGCAGCTTGTGTTAGCGTAAGAAAATTGCCCACTTTCATGGCTGGGCTTTGTCTAGCATACTCCTGATAGAGCATCAATCTTTTCCGAAATTCTTCTATGATCTAGTTCTTACGTCTTCGCTAAATGAACTGTTCCAAATCATCTTCCCAACCCTCGGCACTTGCTGTATGACTTGGCAAACTACCAGTCGTTGCATTACCAATACATTTCGAACATTCTGGTCCAAATGTCGGTGATAATGTCCGAGGGGTTTAGGATGAACAAGAAGTTGAAAATTTTATAACAGAATTGGGTCAGAAACATTTACTTGCAGTTCAACAGGAATGATAACCATCTTGGTATCATTTTAATGGCTTCCATCTTTGTTTTCCGCACCGATGTTTGTGGAAAAGGTCAGCTTGCTGTATTAGATATTGTTATAAAGTGAAAGTTATGTAGGAACTAAGGATTGAAGTACGTTCTCCGTTGAGGTATTTATGTTCTGCAAATGAAATTGAGATACATGAATTCAGCATACAATTTTTCAGCTGAGAATTGCGTTGGTGTAAGCCACACCAGGCATAACCACTTAAAAAACGGTCTGACCTCCTATAAATCAGTCAATAAATCTTTCTTGGATCTTCGATAAGCAAAAGACTCACCATCAACAATCAAATCACTTCCATTGATATAACTCCCGGCTCTACTGCATAAAAGTACTAAAGCTCCGCTCAATTCTTCTGGGTTACCCATCCTACCCATAGGATTTCTCATAGTCCAAATGTTTCTGGCTTCTTCTAATCCAGCACCTTCATTAAGAACGGTATCCATATATCCAGGAGAAATAGTGTTAGTACGGATACCATACCGAGACCACTCAGCTGCGAGACATGATTTCATATGAATTAGAGAGGATTTGGAGACGTTGTAGGCAATTTGGGGCTGAGGATAGTTTACGGTATGGGCGGATATAGCTAAGGAAGTCAGCAATGAACACCAAATTGTGGATTGACTTTCCAAGAGTAGGAGACGAACATGCAATAAAGACAATTGAACCACCGGATTTTTGATCAATCATTTTCCTATTTTCGATATTAGTATCCCCATTCCATCACTGATTAAGAAAAAACATACTTCGCGACAGCCTGAGCACATATAAATGCACCTGTTGTGTTAATCTCTAAAGTACGTCTCCACTCCTCCACACTTATCTTGAGTGCATGTACACATCCTACAACACCTGCATAGCAACATAAGATATCAATACTTCCTAACTCTTTTGCCGTCTCTTGAACTGCTTGATTCACATTCTCCGCGTTTGTGACGTCGACCGACTTTAATAAGATTTTAGCATAAGGAAAGTCTGCTTTTAAGGATGATATAGAAGGGGAGTCGGGTTTCGGGTTGATATCAAATAGGACTACTCCACTAAGACCGTGCTCGAGAAGTGCACGAGTTCCTTGTAAAGCTAAGGTCCCTGTTCCTCCAGTGACTGAATTTAACCATTAGATGAGTTATGAGAAAGGATTTAGGGAGGAGCGTGTACTGATAGCATTTCCTTTGACCGCAAATCTTTCTGTAGCAGAGTTCAAGCTTGGTGGAATATATTTAGTATCAAGGGAAGGGGATGCTGAGTTATTCGAGCCGCTCGCCAGCTGCATCTGAGGTAATGTCCGATTGACTAGGGCGTTTCGATCATAGTTGTTGTCTTCCATGATAAATATGTTTCAAGGAAAATAATTTAGGCCTTGGATATGCTTGAAGAATCGAGAGGGACGGATGTATTCAAGTGAATTTCTCAAGGTTCCTCTCAATGATTGAGAATTCGTGGAGATTTGGGGTTCGTGTCTTGGGTTAGAAGGTCAGCTGAAAAGTTGAGCCAAGCCGTTGTGAAGTTCTTACAAGGCAAGTATGATCAAGGGTATGAATAGCCCTATAGGTAGCACACTCTACATGACTAATCCTCAATGCAGTAAGTCACGGGGCCGCCACTACTTCCTATAAAGTATGTATGATATATGAGGTCGTTAAGTTGACATACAAAGTCAAACAAAAGACTTATTTTGGTAACTGATATTGGTAAGAACATGCAATGATCATCCCCTGAACTGTTACTCGATCGGTATTTCCACAAGGTCCACGATTTCGGCATGAAAGGATAGCCGGCATGAACTCAAGGACGAGATGCTCATAAGTTGTACTCTCCACCAAGCCGATCGAAGGAAACTGCTAGACCAACCTGAAATGAATAGGCAAGAAGTAGGGGAATTGCTTTTCGCATTCGGTGGAATGCCATGGTTGTTTCGAAACCAAATCGTCATGTTTTACGGAAAGGTACTGCTGCTAGGAGAGTAGTTCATCAACTACGTAAATGTGAATGGATTGGGTATCAGCAGGAGGACGGATAAACGGGACACTCAATCTAGTCATCGGGCATTGTTGAACTTTAGATGTGGTCTTTTCTGATACCAGACAAGTAACCTCACTCATACCTGCACAAATTGTTTTCCAGAGTAAGTTGGTAAGACTATTTGACAAGCGGGGTCAAATGAGGGGTAGATAAAATGGGAGAGAAATCACTTCTGACCCATATTTGAACTCCAACTTGGTAACTCTACACCGTATGGGCAAGCAAACAATCAAGATCTAAGGCAGCTTGTTCCAGCACAATAGGTGACAAGTGGTTCCAATGCTTAATGGTCTGTCATGTTACACTATCTGGTTTCTAGTCTGAAACAGTATGTGAAGTTTTTCTTGACTCACTTAGGTCCTGCCTTGGAATCCAATGATTTAGATAGAACTTGGTACAGCTTCGACACTGTTTGATCTTCAACAAATCCACGTGTGTGGTATCTGAACAAGGCCAACACTACAGTGCATGCTTTTGATAATGCAGCAGATTGAACATGAAATCTCTTCTAAGTGGCTGTACAGTGTACTGATCATTTGACGACATGATCCAGTGTAATCCCACACCCTTCACACAATCATTGACTAATAACTTGATTGATAATGATGAACAACAACTTGGAAGTGCACAGGCGGATCTTTGGTGTGGTGGGACTTTCTTAGGACTCCATCTTAAGAGATATGAATATATGAATGGATAGATGGGTAGGTGGATAGATGGATAGATGGACAGATGGACAGATGGACAGACAGATGCAGTTGAAAATGCGAAACAACGTAGAGAAGAGATCTAAAAACGGAGGTACATATACAGTGGCACTCAGTATGTGCGGTAGCTGAATGAGGTTTTCATAGTCCCTTTTATGGTAAAGTGGTGACAAGTACTGAGCGGATACTATGAGTACATAGGTAGTATTAGTATATGCTATTTATTCTGATATTAATATTGAGGGGGTTGAAAGTTATGAATACAGAGCAAGAATACCTAGGTATAGTGCTAAACCATTCTTTTAGGGCCCTTGCCTCACTAAAAGATGAGGTCAATAGGGTCGGTCATTCATTTTTATTTGCGGGCCGTGCCACCTTTCATCCATTCCATAACACACTATAATACACTATAACGCACCGTAACACACTATAACACATCATAACATAACATACCATAACATACCATAACATACTATAACGCACTATAACACATTATAACACACTATAAGTACACCAAGCAGTTTAGTGACTCTACTCTGTACATACCTACGGGAGTACTCTAATTAATTCTTTCCAACTCCCCATTTTTTTATCATTAGCTGCCCACAGATACCAACGATAACCGTCACCCCCACCACCCACCAAAGATTAAAACTCTAACCGGACCAGTGGACCCTTTTCTCGGCCAGAATCTGGTTCAATGTCGAATTTGTCAATATCTAAATATCTTGCAAATACACCGATACATCCATCCTTCATACATACTTTGATTCCCCTCCTCAGGTACCATCAATCCATCCATCCATCCATTCATACCTGCGAGACATCCTCATAAATCTCCGTGCCAATGTTGTGCCTAGCAAAAATTTGCTGATTTCGCCATCCTTACTCCCTACACCGTTCGTTGTTCGTTGTTCGTCGAAGCAAAAACATTTTATATCCAATAGGCATATAATACCATACTATACCGTCTTGCTTGTGTACCCACACTAAAATTTCCAAACCCCATCCGTTGTTGCATATGCAAAAAGCCTGTCAGCTCCAAAATTACCCGCAACAGAATAATCCTATCCCAAACCACCAGATGTTCACCGTTCAACTGTTTTGCCCGTCGTTTTAATATCCACCACACTGCGAACATTATCCCATAGGCTCAAATGCCCTATTGATTTGAGTGCTATTGGGGTCCCGGAAGTTCCATGGCGGGTTCGAATGATATCCATAAAGTAAGGCGCAGGCCAAAGTTTACCAGTGGCGAATTAGAAGATGAAAAGGTTGATAAATCACGATCGGGTCGCCATGAAGGGGAAGGCGTCACATCACTTGAGCCTGATATCTCTGAAGTGCGTAGAAAGCGTCTAGAAAAACTTGAAGGGAATTCGACAAATCGATCGACCCGCAATATGGCAGCTACTGAAAAAATGCCCCCAGAATCGAGTGCGGCGGTCGATGCGACAAAGTCATCATCGAGTCATCGACGAAGGAGGCGACATCATACTTCGGAAGACGGTGCAGGACATCATTCACGATCGAAGACAAATGAAAGAGAAGAGAAATCTAGAAGCGATTTTGTTTATGCCGCCACGAGAGAAAGTGATAGTAAAACCAAGCCACATGGAGTAACTACAACGGAAAGAAGACGCCGGGAAGAAGAGGATGACTCTAGTGACGAATCTGAAGACGAGGACAAATCTCCATTAGAATCCATGGACTCAAAATCGAGGAAAAAGACCAAGGATGTGGTTAGGGAGCAGCCGAAAAGGTCAAATTCAACTAGTAGTAGGATGAAGAAAGAGGATAAGGACAAAATTTCTACAAAGGGCTCAACAGACATGGGAACATCAGCATCAAAAAGTGCATCGCGCAAACCTAAAGTCACTACCGGTGATTCCGTCTCACGCCCTCCACTTTCGAGGTATGTACTTTGGCTTTGCGCATCTCATACTACGACGTTGGGCTAATTTAATTTGTAGGAGCGCGACGACTTGGATTACCGCAGAACCTCGGCCGGCACTGAGGAGAAATAGTATGACGGATAAGCCAAAAGCACCTCCATCTGTAGCGAATACAACCACCTCACATACTTCACAACGCCGCAGTAGCTTTCTAGGAAGTTTCTTCTCATCTGGGCCTCCACCCCCTCCTCCACCACCTCCTGAACCGGAAAAGCTGTAAGTTATTAAGACAAATCATGCGCAAATAACACATAATAACCATCACAGTGTCGAATGCCTAACATGTCTATCCGATGATATTCCAAAATCCAAATGTGCCAAATTACGATGTGGTCATCGAATGTGCCATTCCTGCCTAAGACGAATATTTAAACTCTCAGTTAAAGATCCGGCACATATGCCACCGAAGTGTTGTACAGCCGACCATATTCCATTGAAACATGTCGAAAAATTATTTGACATCCCGTTCAAGAAACTTTGGAATAAGAAATATCACGAATATACTACGAAGAATCGAATATACTGTCCAGCGAAACGATGCGGAGAATGGATCAAGCCCGAGAATATTCACAAGGAAAATGGAAAGAAATATGGGATTTGTGGGAGATGTAAGACGAAAGTCTGCGCATTGTGTAATGGGAAATGGCATGGATCGAAAGAGTGCCCGAAAGATGAGGAAACAAATAAATTACTTGAGACTGCGAAACAAGCTGGATGGCAACGATGTTATAGTTGTAGGACTATGGTTGAGTTGAAGGAAGGGTGTAACCATATGACTTGGTAAGTGAAGGATTTTCACTGGGCTAGAATGGCCAGCAGCTAACATATTGTCTTGAAGTCATTGCACTGCGCAATTTTGTATGATCTGCGGATTGAAATGGAAGTCATGCAATTGTCCATGGTTTAACTACGAAGCCATTGAAACCGATCAGTTAAATGACATGCAAATTCCTCAACCCGTTGCCAGGAACCCGACACCACCTGTGCGAGGCGCTCGAGATAGGGCAAGAAGACAAACACCTGTCAACTTCGACGAAGAGATCAATCAAAGGCGACGCCAAGAGCGCGAAGATGAAAGACTAGCTCGACAGCTACAAAATTGGGGCTTTGAGGATACGCCGAGAAATGACCGGAATGCAGATTATAATGGTGGGATAGGCGATGTTGAAGGGTTCGGCAATGGAGCAAACCATTTCATGAATCAAGATTATATCCGCGAAGCTAGCAATGTTCTAGCCCAGCCTGGTGGGGTAATGAATTTCGGGTTTGGAGTTACCAATTTTCTTACCGGGGTTTTGAGACCACGAGGGGCGAACGCGGCAAATCCAACCGTGGGTGAAATGGGCGCAGTTCCTCCAATGGCTTCTATGAACGAGCCTCAACCTGCTGTACCAGGTCTTATAAGAAGACACACCACTCGAGATGCTACAAGAGCTAATGTTCCTACACGAAGAGCATCGGATATTGTGGTGCCACGGAGAACGAGGACTGATTATGCAGTCGAAGCAGCTATTCATGCGCCGGATTCGAGGAGTCCTAGTTCTACATCCAAAGCGAAGAAGGAGAAGGAGAAGAAGACGAAGTCATCAATACTTGCTGGGCTTGGGAGTGGAAAGAACAGAGTGGATGCATGGAGGAGTTATGTTGCACCTGGAGCTCCACCTGCAGAACCGGTATCTTGATTTGGTTCTTATATCACTCATGGATGAGGATCGTTTATGTTCAACAGACGAATGACTGGCTATGAATGAGGTTTTATGGTTGAAGAAGAAGCTTTTCATGCAAATTTGGCGTGGACAACACAACATCCACTATCTACAGGAGGTATGAATGAGGAAAAGGCGGCTTTTGGATACGGTGGAATGGAGGTACGGTAGATATGGCTAAGGCTATAGCTATGTCGTTTATCTGGAGCAATAACTTGGATCAATACCCGGCCGGTGGATTTAGGAGTTCAACAATGTCCTTGGATGACTATATAACGATATATGATCTATACCAATTTACGAATAATTTTCTTTCCGCCAGAGGGTGAACTTGATTTAATTTATATAGAACAAAAAGCAACAAGTTATTTATACCCATCATCATACTTGTGGTATTTATAACCGAGTAATGTAAGTTTAGCTTCGAATTGTGTCTGTATTTTGCATTGCCATCAGCCAGCCATCCAGCATCTAGTCAACATCTCATATGCACTAACTCTGCTTAACGTATACAAATACTCCATACGAAAGTACAATATGCCATGCTACCTCGTACTCCAGTGGTATGAGCTATTGCATGGCAGAATATTCAGATAAAAGATGTTGTTAGATATAGATATAGAGTATAGATATAGATACAGATCACCTAGTTTCAGTTCAGTTAATTTCATTTAGTCTAGTAATTATATGACACAAATGTTTATTTATTTATTGGAGGGGATGGTGGACTGGGAATTGGGAATTGGGAATTTGGATTAAGGGTTGTGGGGAGGGGAAACGGGAAGGAGTAAGAGAAGGAGGGGTGAGAGTAGGGGTGGGAGGACGGTTATAATAAATGAGAAAATAGATTCACTGAAGACTTTGATATGTTATTTTTCATCAAATCTGCGAGTGCTTCTATAGCAATAGATTCTATATTATGTTGTTTGGATTACAAAATGTAGATGGATAACACTCGCATGGGTATGAATCGCACAGGTGCCTTGCATTTCCACTTGATTTCCTGAAAATGGACGTTATATAGAAGGTCTTGTCAAAAGTGCGAGAAAATTCAAGATAAAAATAGATTTCTGATTTAAAAGTATATATCCATGCCATCATAAATAAAGACTCCTTAGCTATGCAATCATTCCCATAAATAGGGCTTCTTCAAATCTAGTTATAGTCGTAAACATTAATCTTTCTTAGCTGGTGGCATAAGATCATGTTGAGATATCTCTTCAGAACCACCTGCGCTCGCTCCATCTAATCCTATAGCCATCCCAGCTACATCCTTAGTAAGAATAGGAACATTAGGGTCTACAGTTCCCACTCCACTTCCTGTATCTTTATCAATCCGTTCTAATGGCTCAGGACTGGCGACCAGAGGCTCCTTTCCCAGGAACTTGGCGATTTCTTTTTTATCAGTTCCTTTTTCGGTAGGACTATTAGCTTGACTCTTATATGCATTTGAGCCTTTTCCCACTATCTTCTCCGTCCAATTCCACCCAGAAGCTACAGGTTTGGCCTCGTCCTCATCACTATCATCTGCACTATCAACCCAATCCCTATCAGTCCATCCGGCACTCTCATACCCATCTTGTTTGTTCCTTGACCAGCTCGCACTTCTCGATGGTGCTGATGGCGGCCCCTTGGAAGAACTGGATGTTGCAAGTGCAGGAACCAAATCTTGAGCTTCTCTAGCCTCCGAATCTGTACGATCATGTCGAATGAGACGTTCACGCTGAGTATCTCTCTTTACATTTTCCTCATCCACTGAAGAATTCACTTCTTGTCCCTCTGAGCCTGGCGCCTCTCCTGTAGCTTTAGCTCTTTCTAGGCCAGCACTATCTTCATCTTTTCTTCTCGTAATCGCAGCGTCGGAGAAATGAGTATCGCAAAGATGTTTCACCACCGGCCAGCCATATGCATTCGCAAACATTCTTCTTACGATCATGTTATTATGTGCATCCGGTTCCAAGCTCACGAGAACCTTCCGCCAACTTAGATCCCGATGATAAGCTCTGGCAATCTTTTCTTCAACCTTCATCGCTGAAGAATCAACTACAACATTTTGCGGACGAGGAGGATTTGTATTCTTAGGGTCATCATAGTCCAGGGCTGACAGTTGACTGTCGGTATGAGAGGTGGGTGTTGGTGAGGGAGGTTCGGAGAAGGAGGAGTTTCGCCTTCGAAGCATAGTAGATCGTTTCTTGAGAGGTGGCGGTGGAATATCCGAGGGATGATATACGCGATCATGGAAAATCGTTCGAGCACGGGAGCTTGGATCAATCAAAAATTCTACAGATGGTAGAGGTGGCTTGAGGAGATCACCCGCTGATTCAAAGAATGTTGTTTTAGGGGGTGCTGATAGAAGATTTGTATCTTGAGATTCAATTTCTCCTGCTGAAACGTTCGGACGATCCCCAGAAGTGGGGGATGGTAGGGAGGAGGGCGTCGAAGAACCGCTATCATTTATGATATTTATGGTCTGACTTCTTTTGTATATTTTTGAATGTTTTGGTTGGTGAGCATGAGATTTTGGAGAAGGGTTAGTGCGAAAGAAACCTATCAGACTTGCGAGTAGTCCGTTATTGTTGGATGTAAGGTCAGTTGGTGTTGGACTCGAGCTTGAGCTTCCAATCTCACTGCTGTTTCTATTTTTCACAGAAGATATAGTGGAATGCCCTGGTACTTCCAGGTTTTTTATGCTTCGTCTATCATCATCCATAACATTTGCTGGAGGTTGTGGTACTTCTGTTTCATTTCTTTGCATTGTGCTAGGACGAGCAGCTCCCCCAATATCATCCATATCGCTAACTTCTCCATCAGACCAAAGTGCTTGTTTCTTTGAGGGCGAACTGGAATTCGCTCCTGTGAGTTCAGCCCAACTCCATTCCGCCATAGTACCAACAAGACCATTTTCCCTTCTAGCCTTCTCAACTCGACCAAGGCTTTGCCAATCTAGGAAGAGTAAACAGCTAGTTCTCAAAGGCACAATTCCATCATTGACAACATTTGAGTATACTGTGCGATGTCGAAACTTCTTAAGAACAGTATGAGCCGGACCAGTGGGTAAAATTCGTAACAGTGGCTTTGCTTCTGGAGCAGTTTCTCCATCCAGTTTCTTGTGAGCACTTTCTCCAATATTTCCAACAATTGCACCCCATCCACTTCTTGCAATTGTTGGTGCTCTCCATGTCAATCCAAGATCTTGACCTGTGCGACCGACTAATCCAAAATCCAAAGCAAATTTGACATAGAGAGGGTTCTCATTGCTAAGACCTAAGAATGGTGAAGCAAGAGCGATGAAGTTTATTGGTTTGATTATATCAAAAAATTGAGGTGAATGCTTTTGAATGTATGCAACAGCATATGTTTGTACCAATCCACCAAGAGAATGAGCAATGAAACTGATGCTGGTGAAATGGTAAGGAAGATCAATATCTTGAGGCGCTTTTATTATACTGCTGTGCTCATGTGCTGGTTTTCCGGGATCACTCATCAGATTGGATGATTCGGGCTTTAGAGCATGGGAAAGAGCTTCACCTGCTGACTTCTTGAGAGTTGGTCGGTATGGTTGATCTGGGTATGTCATTGTAAGGACATATTTGGCCAGTCTTTTTCCCAGGTATTTTATTCCTCTTTCTGTCCGAACGGCGTTTCCTGAAAATCCTCGCACGATGACTTCTTCCTCGTCATCCGATTCATCATCTGTTTCTTCTTGTTTCTCGGGACGTTCTCCGATGCTCGCCTCCCCATTTGATGCACTATTATCCGATCCACGTTGATGTTCAGCTTGACCGGATGCCCTTTTTTGCCTCTCCTCTTGTTTCTTTTTCGCTTTTCGGGCCTTCGCATCAATCTTCGCTTGCTTGGCTGCCGCATCTATGCTTTCTTTCAAAAATAGCATATCAGCCCCCAGATTACTGTGCAATCCGTGTGTCAAAACCACTAAATGTACATTTTTCCTCCGTTTCTTTCTTGGCTTTTCTTCAACATGACCTTTTCCTGTGGCATCGTCAACTGGCGCAACCTTATTGTTTCCTTTGGATATTTCCTCCTCCGCTGCCTCATCCCTTCCATCCAATTTCGGTGTATTCCACAAGCTTGCAGTATCATCCACCCTTATTCGTATAGCTCTGGAATAAACACCTTTTGGTAATGCCGCATGATGGCCCTCTTTCGCCCTCTGACTCTGCTGATGGTCATGAACTTGGCCAGGCACTGGTGCGGTTCCTCCTAACATTGAACCTGAAGAAAATCCCAGCGATAGACTTTTCTCGTCCCGACCAAGCAGAATTTCGTAATGAACGGCCGCAGAATTGGAAAAGACGACCTGCGATGTCACTTCAATAATCCAAGCAACACTTTTCACATCATCTCTGCCAGGGGATCTCCCATCTCGGTTTGCCTTTCCCGCCGTCTTCCGCACATCTTCTGGGACAACAAGTTCTGTGGAGAAAGAACCTCCGGCTTTTAGATTTGGTTCAAATTCAGGCACACCATCTCGTCGAGGGGTTTCGAACTTGACATTGGGGTTGAATGTGGAAGGATAAGCTGCAGCGTAAAGAGTGTAAGGACCGTGAACAAAAGCTGCTCGGAGTGCTACGGCGGAAGTATTCTTGATCTTCAAGTGAAGTCTTGCAGGAGAAGGAAGAATTCGATCGTGTGCCGGTGTATATGTAACTGTATAACGGACAACTTCTCCTATCTTCACACTTCCGGCTTGGTATAAAAGTAACATGTTGTTGGTTTGTGGTGGGTCGTCAGCGTATCAAGGCATGGCATTAAGGAAGAGGGAAGTAAAGTATAATATCTAAAATGTAGAGATGTAGAACATGAAGTTGGTAATTAATGTTATTGTATTTCTAAAGACATTTTGGATTTCTCTGCTCTGTGGATATATCGATCAATTCATATTAGGAGTAAGAGTTGGAGTAGGAGTAGGAGTAGAAGTAGGAGTAGAAGCAGAAAGTAGAAAGTTATTATTAAAAAAGGAGAAATGGTCCCCCTTCAACCAAAGAAATCTTTGTGCACGAGCTCAGATCCTCAAATGATTCATTCAACCACCTTGACCCTTCCTTTCCTTATCTTATCAAAACATCAACAATGACGACGTTGTGGCGCATTGCAAAGTTACTTTTAAGGGATCATGAAGATTTATGATTATGTGCAATATCAATTATCATGCCATATATACCTAATTAAAGCTAAATTGTATGGTTCTAAAAAGGAAGCTTCAACATCCTTTCATTTATACACTCTTGTATAGGTATCGTAGAATATCTTATATTCAAACCGAGGCATATGTACAATGCTGTCTCTCGGAGCTGCATTGTCTGCTTCTTATCGTCTGGTCTAGACTATTGATGATAAATGGTTGGATGGAAATCTCCAACACACAATGAAACACCACCAACCATACAGAGCCAATAACAAGAACAAGTAACCACCGACACCATTCCACCGGTGTTCCAGCACTTACATGAAATCCCTTTGGATGTTCAATTTGACCATGGCAACTTACTTCTCAACATCCTTTCCGAGCTCGCAACAGACAGATAGAACAATCTCGTCACGGATTTGGGATCAAAGTAATGCCCTACATCTTTGCCTCGAGAAACAATCGAGATATTGACATGGGCCAGCCTGTTTCGTAGGAGAGGTACAGCCAGAAGAAACCAGCTTACACAGTCCAATCCTGTTGTTGGTGTTGTTTGTTGAAGATGCTGGATGCATTGATGAGGATGTTAACTTTACTCGGATATCCCAAAATTGCCATGATTTGGCTTCTGGATGTCCGAAAGAAAGACTTGACCTCTTGATTTTCACTTGTACTGTTCATTCTACAATATATTTAATTGATTACATGAATCATTTCTCAAAGTTCTATCGTCAACTCCTGAAGATATATTCTACTTTATTCGCACATTGTTCTGTCCCAGTGGACGAAACCCCACACGAGAAACCTAAGAAGTTTCTTTCAATAGCTCCCGCAAGTAAAGTTTTCCGGAAAGTTCGGAGTAATACTAGGTAGACATTATGCATGCCCGTGAAAGGGTTTTTGATAATTCTTCCTCCGCTGGTTAGCCATGTCCCAAATCAGCTCCATGTTGTCAACTCCAATATTGAATATTGTTTACTTTACCATGTTCATTTTAACAGTCTCCCGAATGAAATCATGGGCATACATGCTTTTCGGGGTAATACAATTGGCAATTTGCTAATTTTGGCTTGGCAATGCGCGACTCATTCCTGGGCTTCTCTGATTGACAACGAACAAAATGCATCTTATAGAGTATGGATACTACTACCTGCATTTAGATAATAAATACTCATCTGAGCCCACAACTGCTATGATGTCGCGTTGGTCCTGTTATGTTTCGACATTGCATGCTATGGCATAAACCTAAATGTAAAGCGATCATCGCCGGTGCACACCCAGGGCACATAGGTTTTTCCACCTCATGTGCGTGGTGTTGACTACCAACCACGTCGAGGTCTTGACCCTGAATTGGATTCTGAATATTATAGCCTGAGTAGACTTGGTTCCTGTCGTCATTTGAGATAATTTAGATATAAAATCGAGTGGTTCATTTGGGATTCGGATCTAATTCGTTATGCATTTTGCATTTTGCGCAGCTCTGTTTTGCAAGTTCTCTTGCTTTTGCTGTCTTTTACGTTCGGCCTTGGTTTTTAGAAATGCTATTCTAGGCTCTTGATCTTTGTCTACATTTCTATGTGATTGGGATTGAAATTTTGTCATTTAGTCTGTCTCTCATTGGCATTTCGTCAAGACTTCCCAAGCAAGGGAGCATCTACATGTCAAGGAGTATTTAACATATTGATTCACCTCAAACTTTACGGGGTCTTCAATCAAATAGCTTGCTGCAGTGCAAATCATTTGTTTCGGGTCAAGTAGTCACCTGTTTTTAAAAATTCATTCCTAGCATCAAAGGGGGATCTCATTTTCCTGAAGATAAGGGTTAACAGCTAGACCTACACATCACCTTTCACCCTTTCAAAGGGCTTTAAATTTCCAAGCCATGATGGTGTTGCTGAGGAAGAACTCTATCTCCTCTCACATCCCTAGGTTCATAGTCCAAATTCTCAAATGCAAATTTCGCAAGGTCCATACCACACCTATCCATGACCCAACTAGCCATCATATCCATACCAGCACAAGCACCACCTGCCGTCCAAACATTTCCATCAATAACCCATTGAGCATCAATAGTCCAATTAACATTCGGAAAATGTTTCTTAGCATATTCAAAGAAACAATGATTCATTGTCGCTTTCTTTCCATTGAGGATGCCTGTCTGCGCAACAGTTATTGCACCAGTGCAAGTCGTGAAAAGACCCTTTCCAGCTTCGACATGGGAACGGATAAAGCTCTTGAATGATTCAGGAAGACGATAAGTTGGTATTGGGCCACCAATAATGAGGTAATCGAGTGGTGGGCAGTCTTTCAAGGTAGTTGTAGGTACCATCTTGAATCCTGCGGATGTTTCAACTGGTTCCTATATCCGATATTAGATTACGCTCTAGCTTTTTACTTTTCGATCCTCTTACCATAGTTTCATTGATGTGAAAGAAACTGATATCAATTGCGTGCTTGATCAAGCGATCAATCCCTGGTGTGTCAAAAGCTTGGCAAGCTTCCATCATTGCTTTGGACTATGTATGGCATTAGCTTCAACGAAAAATTTACCAAAGGTCTACATGACATACGCAAGAGCCCAAAACATCCAAGGGCATGGCTACATCGACAGTTTGATAAGGAATCATAAGAACACCGAAGTTAATTGGAGCCATGATTAGCGACTTAATTTTCGGGTGAGTCCAGGATGATTTGAGATTCAGTGGGCGAAATTAACTTTTGTCGTGGAAGTAGTGCAAAGAATGGAATTTTTGAATGTTTCTTAATGTAATTAAGAGGATTTTCTCGAAATAAATAATAAATCTGATCAAGATACAACGGATATTCCTAAGGATTTCCGGATATACGTGAGGATATAGGAAATATACACAACTTCCGGCATATAGAATTCCGGGTCGTCCAGAATTCGTGTTTTTTTTTTCATGCAAGTAATCACTTCCCCATGGAGTAAAATCCTACTCTTTGCCTTTGGATTCGTCGGCCGTGTGCGAGTTCTAGTGATTTGATGCTTTTCTTTTCCCCCGGAACACCTCGTCTGACCTCTAGCTAGTTAAAGCAAAGAAATTTAGTTATTGATCAATTCAATAGGATGACCTATAAGTTGATTATCTGAATGTATAGGTGGCACGATTAGCTTGCTATCCTTAATATCTTCCGGTGGCTGGATTGTACCTGCGGTACTGCTTGGGAATAGCTTTTCTCCGCTCACCTCACATGGTGTTCCCTCACACAACGAAATGTATGCGGCTGAGGCGCATGATTGAATCTTTCGACAACCTCAGAATTTTCGTGTCCCGTGCAAAATCTCATCTAATATGCGAGGAAAGGCCGTGAGTCGCAACCCGCAGAGCAGCACGAACCGTTGGCGACATGAATTTATACCTCGCCTCTCATATTTCCTAGTATCGCATGTTTTATTACAGGAAATATAGAATAACACAGTGGAAGCGCCACTTTCCTTCTATGGAACGTTCGAAATATCATGCAATGACGCAAAATCATCCTATCAACTCCCGCTCCATCATCTTCTCACTAACCATATACATCTTCAAACCACCATCACTTATCTCCTGCCTTTACCAGACTTCAAAGTATTTCCCATTTGAATGTCACACGCTTTCCCTTTATCGCTGTATACATCCAGATCATTCAGACACTTCCATGCAGGTGAAATCCTATCGATTGCATAGAGCGAATCTGCTACCATTTCACTATCTCCTTTCTTCAGCTCGAAATAAACATAAGTGTCACCTAGCGCACCATAAGAAGGTACACAAGTCCAACTGGAGTCAACAATTTTGCCTCCTATATGTTTTTCTCGTCAGTTACAGGTAGATGCATGGATAAAGAAGGCAATAATTACCCCGAGACTTGATATTAGCTACTAACCCTGGCGCGCATTCGTCCTGGGAAAGAGTAACATCCACATTTGGTGTATTATCGGTGTTTCCCCACTAAATTTGAGGTTAATACAGATATATTTCCTAATGGAGAAGCTCACTTACTCCCGCCAAGTTGATTCTAAAAGCACCATGGTTTCCAAATTCAGAAGTGTATTGACAACAATTTGTATATGCAGCCACATCACTTGTCCATATCAGGTTTCCCTTCCTGCCACGTTCGTTTAAAGTTGCAGTCGGGGTGGACACAGCTTTTTTTACCAGTGAGTTAGCAATAATATTAGCTGCTGGGAAAGCGCACGCTGAACTGGAAAATGACATGATGACTAATGCGAGAAAAGAGACCAAATATCTGGGAGAAAACAGCTTGCCTTCGGAGGCCATGCTAAGAACAAAATGATAATAAGATCTAAGTGAGGAATCTCGGTATAATGTTATTATGATGATGAAATCTCAAGAGTGAGGGTAAGCTTTAAATGAGGTGTGGATAATACTTGTTTGACTAGAATGGCTTAACAACGTTGAAGAAAGTGATGGTGTATGAATTCAATTTTACTTTCCCTGAATTTTCTAGAGTTCAGGTTATATCATTCTCGTTGACTTCTGCCTAAGATGGTAGCGGCTTATGTGGGCTAGTCAAGAAAAAGGCTTCAATATTGCACTTCATAAGGCCAGTTAGTCTTCGCCTTACTTGGCTGCATCTAAATTTTAACACCTCAGCTCTTCTTAATGAGGCCAGATTTTATCACTGGGCATTCCTAAGTTTTAAATATTCCTAGTTTCGTGTATTTTTCATGAGTAGTCAATAGGGCTTAGATATGAACTTCTCAAGCTTGCCCTTGTGAGAAGCGTGCTAATGCTGATGGTGCAAAGAGGAACCAAAGTGCTGGAAATGTAGCTCAAATATACAGAACTTTCCTTTATTTCATGGTTCTCTTTCTAGCTCTAGCGATGCATTGAAGTGAATTCCGCAAAATCATGCCCATCTGTACAGGTCAAAAGAAGACAACATGCTAAGGCAAGGACCGCCCAGTATGGACGGGACCCATGCATTGAGCGACAATAATGGCGCATGAGCTTTTGGCACTTTGAAATTATTTCTGCCTAGAATAATCGCTAAATCCGCCGACTCCTGGCGTCTACAGGCGTGGAGTACGAGCGAGCCTTGGGATTTTGGTATTATCGACCTGTGAAAATTGAGGCTAAATTGTTGGCAGCACAGGTTGTTTCAAACCCTAGAGAGAAGGTAGAGAGAATTATGGTAGACGCGGAAAAATCTCACGGCTTACTCTGGTATGATTCTGCTCGTACAAGAAGTTACTAATATTCGCATACTTATTGAACATCAAGTTAAACTCCGATGCATGCGCTAGTTGCCAGTAGCCAAGCTATTGAAGCTAGTTGGAAATTCCTGTCTTCCTCTTTTGTCTCTAACCCCCGTACTGGAACCTCGATCTCTCTAATACCTAGTGTCCCCAGGAAATACAGGTACCGCAAATAATTTGGTCTTATCTTCCACGTAATCTTTCCCTTGCCAATGCCTCAGACACTCAACCAAGTCTAACAGTTTCAATGGCTTGATTTATTTCCCACTCGTCTGTTTCTCAAGTAGCTTTACCTTATTCTCAAGTGGCTAGTGCTTTTTATTCTGTGAGTTTTAATCTTCGTCTGTATGCTTAAAGACCACAAAGTTTTTCAGATCGTCGGATCAAGACTTGAAAACTTAGGGTACAATCACATAACATGGTATACCATTAGAGGAATTATTCAGTCCGAAAATCCGACCACTTCTAGGAGACACTCCGGTATAGTCACGGCTGAAAGTTCCTTTACAGGCGATACAAATTTTCAACCTCTTTTCTATTTGGGAAGCCCTATGCTGCTACCTCTTTCATGTATCGGTTTTAAGATGTTGTGGCTTTCACCAAACAGCTCCCACCAGTGCGGCACACACAACCACGCCGCTAACCTAGCCTCAAAAAACACAAAAGGAGACTTGCTTACTCTTCTGGAATGTTTCAATATTTCTAGGAAGTATATTTGGTCCATCTTTAAAACATATTGGATGTCAGTCGCTTTGTTTTAGGTTTAAATAGCATAAATATCATATCTTTTTGCCAACAACCATATCTGCGATAGAGTTGGGTAACAGACCAGCCATCATACATGTTACAGTATGAGAAATGTTGTGTTTTTGTGTTTTTCGTCTCAGCTATTAATAAAGACACTTGAATACATAAATAGACACACATACTTCCACTCGGAAGCGTGGACAAAGACAGTGGTGCACACTATATAGACGTGGCATGTATCCTATGACACTTTCTGCCCGTCCCATTCTATCTCTATCAACTTAGTGTCCATGAAAGTACTCCACGACGCAAAAGATCTAAAATTCAAAGGCAATATCCACATTCGTCAAATCAGTTCATCTCGAAATGCATCCTAAAAGTCTCCTCATATTCTTCTTCTTGGCCGTTTGCCACTCGGCCGTATCGAAATTTCAGGGAGGAAATTTTGACACCAAGAATAATGATGCCGCTCAGTATCAGTCTTGACTGCTGCTGAGAGCCAACCATCGCGGATCACCAATGGCTAATCGACTAAGCCAAGTGCGATAGTAGCGACATTTAAAACGATTCTTACTACCAGAAACACAAAAACTGCTGACCACGGTCTCGAAATGACACTCAGTTTGGAGGAGGCAGCTGCCACAACCACAACCACAAACTTCAGAACCAGCTCCAATTTGGTTCAGTCAAAGAAGCGTCGTAACACCTTATACTCAGGACCACTAGTAGGAATCACATCTTCAGCTGTTTCGACAGAATTTGCTAATCTGGTGATCCCCAATTTCACTACTTTCTCATTGCCTGTATCCACGATTAGTGCAAATTTATACGGATGCTACGGAAGATACGCTTCGATCCACAGATGTTTCTTTTGGGATATGTCAGCCACTGCATCCATATCGACACCCACGCTCATTCCCTATGAACAATTGTTGATTTGGTTCCTGGTTCGAGGATGTATAGCAGAGTGTGGATTGAGTGTCTAACGTCGAGGGCTGTATGTTTTCGTGTTTGGATTTATTTTCTGTTTGTGGGGTGGTTTTTTGCGACGCTTTTGAATGTAAGGCCCACTGTAGTCTTCGGGGAAATTCATACTCATTCATTATACATTGACTTTTGAAGAGTCCAGCTGTGCCATTCTTTATGTCTTCAGTCTCTTCTCTATCCATGAGTCGATAGTTCTCGATAGCTTTCTCTTTCAATGCAAATACTCTTCACAATTGATTTGGGCAAGATTTACGGAAAGACCATTACAATTAACCATTTGATACGACTATAAGGATTTGTAATCAGTCCACAATTGAGATTACGCATTTCATATCAACTTATTTTGATGGTTTATGAAAATACTCCATATCTGCTCCAAAAAAAGAGTTCCCATTCACCACAGAAGATCCAAATGTTGCTAAGACCCGCGTTGTATGCGGTACAGTGAAGATCCTTAACACTGCCACAAGCAACTACATTTTCGTATTAATATATGATCATGATGGTTTTTGATATAAAAAGGTGGCCGAGATTAAGGTTGGCCGGAAAAGGGGGTACTAGACTTACCCTGCATACTAGACAGAAGGGTTTTGGAAATTATATCTTAGATTCTCAGTTGACATCTGACCAACGAAGACTCTTTGAACATCAGAAATTAATTTCAGAAATAACATTCTCTCACCATCAAACAGCCATCCAAATACAATCCTTCCTTAATAAAACATTCACTGTTCAAAGCTTCATACAAATTGCTGAATAGTGACTGTACTTGGCTCTAAACAACCAAAAAATTCCCTCCAAGCTTCAAACATATCCATATACATACTCAGATTAATCAATTATATATCCAATGTAATAATTTACCGTTCTTCTTTTCATTTCTAATAAACACGTTCTCAATCCCCCCATCATTTCCCCTTCCATATAATCAAGCTCCTAAAAACCCCACCCCAATCATACCCATAACTCCCAATAATCCAAAACCAGCACCATCACTTACTCCAGCCCTCGCTCCACTTCCTTCAGAACTCTTGGGAGCAACAGTCGTAGCGGTAAGACTACCACTCGACCAACTGACACTCGACAATGAAGTCAAAGAACTCACAGTTCCCGGCAACAAAATCGTCTTAATAGTACCAATAGTGGTTCCGTTACTTGTCATTCCTAATACTGGTGCAGATGTAATAGAAGTACTTGTAGCCGAGCTCGTCTTCGATACTACCAAGCTAGAGCTAGATGTCATCGCGCTTGAACTTGATTCTGTATTTGCGCCTGCAGCATACGTGAGTAAAGCTGCAGAATTTGTAGCTATCGAAATTGCGCGGAATCTCGAGGTAGCCTCAGCGCCGGTCACGGTTGTTGTTGCGGTTTCGGTAGAGCCCGGAATTATTTCAGTCGCGAGACATGCCATTGATGCGGAGCCGGAAAGTGCGCATCCTAGAGTCATTGTTCTAGGATATATTAGAGACTTATTTGAGGTGATGAAAATCAGATAACATACGTGGAACCGGGAAATGTCATTGCAAGCTGAACGGTTGAAGGCCCCTGAGTCAAGGTGTATGGCTGTTGAAAGTTACATGATGAGGTATCTGAACCAGCTGGACATGCCACTAAATAAGTAGTGGCAACATTTTCAGTCTTATGATGTCATGTTAGTAGATTCATTCATCAAGGAGACTAGAAAATAACATACTGAGCCAATCGCATATGCGACAACAGGATAATCACCAGCAAACAACGCCGTTGAAGATTGTGCACCAACTCCTCGACTGCCGATCCAAAAGACCAAAAAGAGCAGATAAAATTGATCAACAAGGAGAAGCATATTTCAATTTACATCATACGGCTTCTTCCAGCTACAGATCTTTGTGGATATAATAGGAGATGTGGTCACCGTGCATATTGAGAGAGAGGAAAGAGAAGTTATACAAACATAGAGTAGACATCTGTTGATATGTTAGTGCTTTAGGATTTAAGATTGCAGGATCAAATTAATGGAATTGTGAGATCCTTCTGTGCCTATAGTGCCGAATCCCAAATATAGGGCTGCAGGAATGGGCGCTTACATCACGTTACACGAAGTTTGAGGTACGAAATTTTAGGTCAATGTGTCTATTTAAGATCTTTGATTGGAGCAGAAAATAACGAACACAAGGATGACTTTATGAGATAAGATATATCAATCTGGAAGTATGTACTGTTCTGTCCCCCGGCGCTTACTTGTAGAACGATCAAGAATCGAAATATTTACGACAGTGTGTCTATGACACCTCACAATTTAGAAATCAATAGATGGGAGGATAGACAATCGCAAGCCAAGGTCCGTCTTCAGCTTGATTCATTAGTAAGTAATCACAAGTTGTGAAGAGAAGCCGTGACATACACGGTCAATACAGAGAATATGATGGAAAATCGGGATACGCCTAGCGTATATCCTCGGCTTGTGCCATTCATATGTTCGTGGCGGTCATGGCAGTCGACTATTAATGACGGAAGATGAATGGTTAAAATAATTCCAATACAGTATACGTACAGATGATGTATATTCCTGGTCCTTCCTTCTATTGGCGGATCTCGGTAGTCATATGAGAAGATCTTATAGGGTGACTTAACTAGTCACCGAGCTCTATGGAACTTGGAGCTTGACGCATGAGAGCGTGCGCGACGGCTCGTACAGACATGCTTGAGATGACTAGTGAAATCACTGCAAATAATTTAGTGCGCCGATCTAGTCTCATTCTTGTTCCCCATTTACGAGAGGTTATTATGTGACGTAATGTACTGTAACGAGTCGGTGCTAGCTCGCAATGTTGGGAAGAACCTGGGAGGGGCAGATGCTCTGAGCTAGTGACTTCACTAGCAAACTCAGACGACATTCATTAGATATTTCTTGTTCTACTTCACTGGAGGAAGTGGCAAGAATGCTCATGTAAAAAACAAGCAAGAGATTCTTGGGACGGAACTCTATTTTTATTCATGCTGAATTGAGTTTTTTGTAAGTAGGGTTTGCTAGACGCCTCCACGGTATTCACCTACAGATGAAGTGGGATATTTCCATAGGCATAGATCATTGACAGATACTATTCACATTTGGATGCGGGCACTGTTGCATTAAAAATTGTGGGTATGTTACCACTAGCGTCATAGAAAAACTAAATTATCCACACCTAAGACTTTAACTTCAAACTACCGCTAGCGAAGACTTCCCCCAGTTGGCACTAGTGATCCCCAAACTCTTCTGGCACCTAAAAATCTATGAGAATTTACACCTTTCAAATTCCCATGCAATATTTGGCACTTGCCGGTCTCTTTGGAACATTAGATACAGTCGAAAGTGGCAATTAGTTGATGTCAAGCTTGTCGAAAATGGGCTTTAAGTGGACACACGCTAATTTAAAACATAAAATGTTTCCGCATGGAATCTTCAGATGGGATATCCCAAGTTCAGATTTGTCGATGGGACTAGCAGATGGGTCTGCATTGAAGTCCGTGTCCAACCTGACAGATTTCGGAACTATTCATACGCGGTGATCATGATGCATAAATGCTAGCACAAGATCCATTCACTGGGAAAAATTGTGAGCTTCGCGAAAATCAATGGTTACAGGAGTAATCAATCAAATGGGCTTGCAGGCCTTTCCCCCGCTTTTTGAACTCAGTTATACAATCCTTGCGTTATGGAAGGTCATTGAAAGCATCCGCATGGAGTAGTAAGGTCCCGCAGATAGTTCCGGAACAAAAGTATCACCCCGCCTCAGGATCGCCCAGAAGCAGTAAGCGAAGGTAAGTCTAGGGATGGTTGACTTGAACGTCGTTGATGAATAATCATCTAATCCCCTTCGGCATTTGTTTAAAATGCCAATCTCTACTGGTATCAGAGAAGTGGACTTCTTTACTCATCTTGGTCTTTTCCGGAAGCTTCATCCTAGCTTCTATGATCATTCAAACTCTGCAAGCAGATGGGTCAGAATCCATTGTCCTGGCTTGGAACCTCCATCACTCTGGATCTCTCTGGTCTCAACCATCAAACGGGTGGTTCACCCTTCAAAGTATCCAGCAGTATGTCCATCATCTAACCATGGAGCTTTTTGCCATCTCAAAATTAAATTTCCTGGGCGAGCCGCCTTCTTTATGGCAAGCAAGTCATTGCGGTGAAAATCGTTTGTTCAATCTTCAAGCATTAATGCTGTATACTTCCCACCAGCTGCGAAGTATTCGAGCAAACATTAACCAATCATGCTTTGCAAGCAGAAGCTTTTACCACATGCGACTTCCAGGCTCATATATTCTGAACCTTATGAATCTCAAGATGTTTAGAGAGAGTAATATGTGGAGGAAGCTTGCCTCAAGGGCGATAATAAATCTCCACGAGGGCACCACACCACACGGGAGTGTTGATCTAGACAGAACTTTTCTTTGAAGCAGATCCACCTTGGCATATCCGCTAAAGGTGTATGGACATCTCTCGTTCCTGTTGACAGATGACAAATTCCTTTATGCTTATGATATCTCTCGTTCACCTGGAGCGAGTGAAGTTGGCCATTCAAAATATACAAAGACAGATCTAGACTAGTTGTAAGTGTCAAGGATAAATCAGCCTAATGCCACGGTAGGTCGCTGAACCAATGTCGTGGCACGACAAAGTTCAAGGCTCCTCGGTATCATACTGCGTGGTTTTTAGTACCGTCATAATCGCATCAAAAAGAATGTCGGAGATTCAAGTAACATTTTGATGCTCATCTAGTACAAATTTATACACCCCTCTTCTGTAAATTACTTTTAGCATCACTATGTCGACTTACCATTTCTTTCCTTCTCTACATTCCTAATCCATCATACATAGTCGAAACTTGCGTCAAGATCTCTGCAAAATATCTTGGCTATTATGTCACATGTCCAAAGAAGATCATCACCAAACGACCCCGGCAGTCTTTTGGGTTTTAATTTCCCTTTGAAAATCTGGAGAGAAATTGGTGGTCGTGGAGTCCACCTAGCACAGAACCAACCTTTTATCCTCTCATCCCAGGGTGAAGGAATACAGGAAATCATACTTGATTACGGAAGGAGCGTAGGAGGACTCCCCTTTATCGAGACGGTCAATGTGACTAGTAATGGACGACCCGCTGTAGTCGATGTTGTGTATAGCGAAACAAGCACCGGAGTTCATAACAGAAAAATAGGTAAGACTGCTCTAATAGATTGTTCAATGGAGCGAGTGTTAACTTTCCTTAGGAGATGGACCATTCTTTGGATTCTCTAATGCAATGGATACTTACCGAGCGAAGACCCTTTACTTTCCGCCTTCGAATACACACAAATTGATGGTATCCAAACTTCCACAGACTTCTCAAAGATACCAAAAAATAACCCTCGTAACCCCAAATTGTTCAGTGGCAATCTCATCGATTGGGTTTCGGCAACTAAGACCACAAACAATAGGAGACGGCCGTTTCGTGTCATCGAATGAGTTACTCAACAAGATATGGAGAGATGGTGTCAATACTGTTGACCGATGCACGGTTGAGGCTGGAGAAGTACAAGAGACCTGGGAAGTAGCTGAATTCGGAACTAAGATATCAGGACAGCGATGGGCACCTTGTCGTCATGGGACGCGATGGAAAGATAAGGCGATCAAATTTAAGGTGAAAATCGAGTCCGGCGGGGCCAGTTGGGGCATTCATATGGTGGAAAGTGGATTGATCTTCTCCATAGACATCGTATCAAGGAGGTTATCGGCTTTCGAAGGCGCTTCGGATACTTCACCGTCAATACTAAAGGGGACATGGGACCTTGCCGGAAGCCTCGACTTGTTTGACTGGCTTCGGATTGATATTGAAGCTCGCGGTTCAAGCGTTTTGGTGAAGATCGACTGCAAAAGAGTCGCCCTTCTGAAGCGATTGAGTATATACTCGTCACCCGGATGCGAGCCGAACACTGGTTCTATTGCTTTCGGTGGTCCTGCACATTATGTTGCAGTATATCGATCGCTAGTGGTGAGAGATGTTAATGACAATATTCTTTACGAGAATGATATGAGACTCCAAAACAAAGTGCGTGTTTTGGCAGACTTTCATGTCGGGACAAATCAGATACCATGTACAGTGGACAGTGCAAAAGGCCATCGCATATGCTCCGCTGGTGATCTGTTCGTGATGGGGCGATCTATTTACCACTCAACTGGGTATTTAGAGGCGGTTCTAGGAAGCCTCTCGTTGCTTTCTAGTTACCAAGGAAGTGACGGTTATCTTGGAAACATAAGCCCAATACAAAAGACATTCTTCGAGAATGAACAAAGTGAGCCTCCAACCTACGCGTTTTTCTCCCTCACCCTGAGCTTCCAACTTTTGGTAGCTGTTAAAGACTATTGGATGTACTCGGGGGATTGCTCTATTGTGAAGATGATATGGGACAAGATGGAAAGATCGATGGATTTCGCAATACTTTATGAAGATAAACGAGGGTTAATTGTGGCTCCAGCAAATATGTCAAGTAAGAATTTTCCTCCCAGTACCATCAACAATGCCTGATTATTAAACAGGGGACGATATGTCACCCGATATACTGATAGGTGCTTCATCGAAGTTAAATCTTGCATACTACGATGCCCTGATTTCCATGAGCAAGATGTGTGGCATATTCGGAGTAGAGGATCAATATACACCACGTGCATTGGCACTCAAAGAAAGAATTTTGGAGAATTTATGGCATTCAAAAACAGGGGTTCTGCGGCTGAGTGACCACTCCCCAGCAACAATGATATCTCATGAAGTTAATGCATATGGAAGAATTCTTGGTGTCATACCTCATACGCAAAGTTCAGATGAGCTATTGGGACTTTCAAAAACAGGAGAACTTCCGTGTAAAATTCGGGATTTGGAAAGTAGAAGATATGTGAATGCTGTGAGTCCTTATACTTGTGGAATGGCAGCAGAGGCACTGTTTCAAGCCGGTAAAGGATATGAGGCAGTGGAATTAGTGGAAAGAGTATGGGGTCCTATGTCAGATCCAGAAAATTTAGATTATTCAGGAGGACATTGGAAAGAGATAAAGCCGAATGGGCAGCCAACTTCGTCTGCGACTTCAATGATGCAAGCACGATCTACCTGGCCGGTTTCTATTCTTCCGCAATATCTGGCGGGGGTTGAGCCAATCTATCGGGGCTGGTCTCGTTGGAAAGTGCATCCTGTACTTGCAGGACTTACTTTCGTGGATTATCGACTTTCAACGTCAATGGGGGAGATCTCTGTGGCCATTCACATACACGAACCAAGTAGCACAGGGGAGCTTACAGTGTTTGTTCCTAAAGGAACAGTGGCGGACTTGTATCCACCAAAAGGCTGGATTTTCCTAGCATCTAGGAGTATATGTGCAGAATATCTGGAGAAGAAAATCGTTATAGGCCAGGATGAAGAAGTAACTTTAAGGCTTTGTCTATCGCCTCGAAATAAGAACTCGGCGCGAAGCAGGCAAAGTTTAAGGGAGCTACCCTGGGAAGATTATGAGCCTGCAACACAAGAGAAAGAACTGAAAGGTCAATGCTGTATAAAACGTCTGGGCCGAAAAGTCTTCAAGTTATGCAGAAAATAAATTCAAGTCTGAACAAAACAAAAACTAGTAGTCTGTGCATCATCAATTCTCGTAGGATCGAAGTGGCAATCAGTCAAGTACAACAGTATTGGAAATAATCACTGATTGAAAGGCGATGACATACAAGATGATTTAAATTCGTATGATGGGGTATATTAAAGCATAATAGAACCTATGCATGGCCACTTGCCCGATTCATTGGACCCCAATTCTCTCGAGGATTAACTTGGTATCTTACTATCTTTTTTGTATCTTTTTCCATTCCCAGCCTTTCGTCAAATACTATCTCGAGCTTCTTTTTGGCGGCGGGCGATGTGTCTTTCTCTTCGGCTTCGACTTCACTAGGCGCATCCTTGATATTTGACTGCTGTGTAGAAGTGTCCGTTTTGTCTAAGCCTATAATGTACCACCCGGCTGTATTCTTCTTAATAGCACCCTCCTTTGGTGGACATTTTTGTCGCGCCCATTCTCTCATAATCTCCCAGATAACATCCCAAGGAGCATCAGTTTTGATACTACCACCCTTTGTGTGGCTTCTAGTAACTCTATAGCCGAGGTGGCGTAAAGCTCCTCGAAGTGCATTTTCGTGAGGAGTGACGCAATGAATTACTTTGGCGAGCATTGATGGTATGAAAAAGAACGGATAATGGTCAAGGGCTGCGGGATCATTCTTGCCAGTCTTTGATGAGTCAGTCGGGGAGTCTGGAAGGTCCTCTGTGGGAGGCAAGTTCTCTTCAAGGGCCAATGTGAGCATTCCTTCGATCCTAGCCGTTGTATGGTATGTATCCTTGGATACGTTGGGAAGGTCATTGAGTATTCTCTGAACAAACTCAGGTTGGTGGAGCGGACCACCGTACATAGGTCCAGCGAGGTGAGTTCTCATACCGCAATGGGAGCAGTTCTCACCCGCAGATGGTCCCATGGAGTAGACATGTTTCCAGAAATGGCCAATACCATTTTTGTTGGGCACGAGCTTGTTCTTCCCGACCATTTGAGTTGTCCATGCTCCACAACCAGTGTCACAATTATAAACCATCATGGTTTTGCCTGCTAAAAATTTGACATCTGAGGGAGATCTGTATATTCTAACAAATACTCGTGCGTAGAAATCAATCGAGAGAGAAAGAAGTGGCTCCATTGCCAGGCCGTATCGAGCGGCGGATGTAGCGATTGAATGCAAAATAAGTCTCAAACCACCTTCATGACTGTGCTGACCTTTGACAGTCACTCCTCCGTAAAGCGAGTATGCCTTTTCGGGATATCCATTGGAAGCCCATACACCAGCATCAGTACAAGTAACACACAAAAGTCCCCCATCGTCTCTGACGGCTTGTACTGCCGCATCCAAAAATGGAGCTGCTGTGCCATAAGGATCCAGATCAATAACATCATATTTTTTGCTGCCACTCCCATCTTTGCTATCATCACCTATAAGACTGTACATATGTGTCAATGCATTTCCAGTGACAGCATTAATTTTGTTTTCTAGTTTATTATGCTTCACATTGAGTTCAATTGTTTTGGTAGCTGCGGGCAAAAGGTCGTTCGCGGTAATTGATGTTGCAAAGGGAATTTCTTGAGCATATCGAAGTGCCCTGAGTCCAGTGGCAGATAATGCATCGAGGATTTTGAATCTGGGATTGATTGGATTGGCAGGTTTTGTGGGTTCTTGTTCGTTTTTGTTTTCTGGTACTTCATCCTTTTCCGTTGTTACACGATTATTCGGTTCTCCATCGGCCATTGAGACTCTTATATTCGTTCCTCCATTCTGACTTATTGTCTCTCCTTCTTTGCTCTCTATCTCCTTGTCGTCAATGGTATTTTCTGGTTTTGCGACGGCTAATGGCAGCTCTACAGCTTCTCCTGCACTATCAAGTTTGCCAGCCTTCCTGGGCCCATCATTTTCTTCTTCAGCAGCCCTCTTTTTTTCCTTCTTGGCAGCATTCTTTTGTCTATCTCGTTCGATTATCTTCCTCTTCTTTTCCAATATGCTTTCTCCGTATGCCTTGATCGCCAGAACACTCAAATCTCGATTGAATTGTTGAATTGGGTTGTAAAAGACAGATTGTACCTGGTTTTGACCTTTAGGAGTCGTCTGTGGCACTTTCGATCCCTCTGCGGGTATCAGGATATGTGCGAGGCCTTCCTTGACTGTAGTGTATTCTTTTCCATCGTGGAGAATATGTTGATCGGCAGCGGGCGCGACCGTTATGTCAGGAAGACTAGCATCCATGGCGGAGGCCGAAAAGAATCTATAAATTGAAATTGTTTGCCGATTGCTAACAATCTGCGGTATAATGCAAGTTCTTCTGAAGCAATTGACAGAGGTAGAAATCGATCGCATAAGTTGTTCCTGTTGAAATATGAAATAAATTATTATTGAGAACAAAAATGGTGAAATTCTGCCGATGATGGGCGGCAGGCGGTCAACAGGATTTTACTCATTTTCGCTTATTACAGAGTTCTACAGAGGAATGGATGTTTTGTGCATACGATTTATAAGGCCTAGCTATAGAGTGTTAGCACTATGATAAATTGTAACTTTACTCCTCCTTGAAGATGAATACTTGATTAGAAAAACATCTACTATTCCAACCTTATAGTTCCATTCCACTAGGGTTAATATTAAATGTATTATCATACATACACCTATTCTTGTAAATTCGCTTAGCTCTGAGTAGATGATCCGGGTTCGGGTTTATAGGCATTTTATGATGCTAATATTCTATAAGGCCCTATAATCGCGTGAATGCTCAGGGCGAGACTGTAGACTTAGCAAAGACAAACCGCGAGCTCCTTTCTCATGAATAAAGATTGCGAGATGGAAGACTCAAAATGCACTCCAGTCAATGCTGCAAGCGGCAAGTATGTAGATGCGAGGGGCCAGAATCTCAAGCGTTAACATTGTCCAGATGCTGCAGCCAGTGCTTTGGAAAAGCCGTTTCGCATTAGTTTTTAGAAACAAAAACGGAATTTTAAAGGCCAAAGGGAGTGCAAAAGTCCTTCTAGAACATCCTGCACTTTCAACATAAGATCTTATTGAAACTTCTTGTACGGCTGTCTTGATGATAACTTTCTAGCTTAAGAGTTACAGACTGATGGAAGATAGTTCGGGTGCAACACAACAGGAAAACAATGGAAAGAAGAGGTTGAATTGAGGTATGGAATCACGTGGAGGCGTGCACACTTGTCTTCTCCATTTAATTAGTCCAGGGTTTAACAAGATAAGCGCCCAACCATGTCCGCTAAACCACTCTCGAGACTAATGCTATGGCTCAGCGAACAGTTACATTGCATATCGCCACCCAATGAATCAGGATCATAACAGCGTTGAAAATATTCCGAGACACCAACATAATATCTATCCAGGGTTTCTAAATATACGGCGCCAGACGCAAGTCGCGTCTGAGAAGTCACAAAACCTCGTTCCAATGGTAGGGCAGAAGTAGGTGTGCAAGCATCAGAGGTAGGCTATTTGTATATGAGTGCATGCTGACATGTGGAGGGGCATATATTCTTTCTCTTTTGTAGTTGTCATTCTATTTAATGTGCTTGTAATGTTTTTTAACTGTATTGCTTGTTAATTCATCTTGCGAAATTATTCATTGGCAGTAACCTGCGATTGCTTTTGGAGATAACATTCCCTTTCCACCAAATACCTTATGGCTTTGTCCCTTGCACGATTGAAGTTTAGAAAGACTCGCTCGAAATCTGCCACAACCGTACTTTCCACCCACTCCAGTGTTTCTCCAGCGAGCGATACTAAAGACTTCGAGCCCACCGAAAGGTTTGGTCTTTTCCACTTGAATCCGATTCCCACGCTTTCAAATGGAGAAGAGCCGCTTTATAGACTTGATGTTGTGGCACTGCATGGTATAAAAGGCGATGCATTCAAAACATGGACGGAGAAGAGGGAAGATAGTGGGAAGAACTTCTGGTTAAGAGATCAGTTACCAGTTGAGCTCCCAGGTGCGAGGATATTCTCGTATGGGTACGATGCGAATGTACTTTTTAGTCGGGGGACGGGCACAATAGAAGATTTCGCGAGAACTCTTCTGGTAGATTTGATGAGGGAGAGAAAGGATGATTCAAATCAAAAACGTCGCATTATCTTCATATGTCATAGTATGGGAGGCATTGTCATAAAAAAGGCACTCATCACCGCCGTTGACAATGGTACCTACAGAAACATATTCGACTCCACTTCCGCCATCCTCTTCCTCGCCACTCCGCATATGGGTTCCGACGAAACAAAGCTACCCTTGTCAATCGCCAATGTTGCTAATGGCATTCTTTCGTTTCCAATGAGATTTAGCGGACGTGTAAGAGATGATTTGATCATGCCATTGGCGCGAGATTCGCAGATCTTGAGAGAGATACAGCAAACATTCAAGGAGAGGAAGTTGTATGAAGGATTAATGATCGCTAGTTTCCAGGAACAAGTTATTTGTACGGGATTGAAAGGATTGGTTGTTGATAAGGAAAGTGCACTATTGCACGTTTCAAATGAACGGGCAGTGCCAATGAATCGTGACCATCGAAATATTTGCAGGTTTAGTGGACCGGAAAGCAAGTCATACCAGAGGGTGTGCGGCATTCTGAAAGAATATTCTGATAAAGCTAATATGAGTAAGCTCTCTGTAAGCGAGAAAATAGTGATGTGAAATGCTAATGCATAATTGAATAGGTGTTCAACCAGAACTCACATCCGATGACAAAGGTACGCCTTTTGCTTCCCTACTACACATTGATGTTAACTCACATACTTAGCTGTGTTGTCCTCCATACACTATCCTGAAATGGAGCAAAGACGTCACAATACAAACGTCGCCTACCCGGGCACCTGTACCTGGATCTTGAAAGAACCTGCCTACGTACGATGGAAGGCTGCCCAGCGTAGCTTGATATGGATAAAAGGCAAACCAGGTGCAGGTAAGTCCACACTTATGGCATACATCCTGTCAAATATTCGCCATCATGATTCCGGCCAGCTAGTTTTGAATTTTTTCTTCCATGGTCGAGGTTCTCTTCTCCAAAAGAGCCCCGAGGGAATGTACAGGGAATTGTTACATCAACTTTACCTCCAAGCATCTCCTATCCGTGAACTGCTTCGAAAGTCTTTCATTCAGAAAAATGCGCCGGGGAAATCAGAGAATGATTGTGTTTGGACTGAAGATGAATTAAAGGAATGGCTATTCAATGCCATCACACACATTGCCAAGTCACAGCCCGTCGCTTTATATGTCGACGCACTTGATGAAGCCGGCGATGATAATGCGAGGATTCTGATCAATTATTTCGACGATATGAAAAAAAGGGTAACCGCAGATAATGGATTTCTAAAGATCTGCGTTTCTTGTCGACATTATCCGAATGTCTCCTTAAGTGACGGCTTTGAAGTCAACGTGGAAAATCATAACATGCCAGATATTGCAGTTTTTGTTCATGTGGAACTAGTCTCAAGAATTCGAAACTGGGACAATGATCGGGTAGCTACTGAAGGCAGGGAAAATATGGAAGCAGCCATTGTAAAGAAATCATTAGGTGTCTTTCAATGGGTCAAGCTTGTGATTCCCATGGCTGCGGAGACTTTTAACGACACGGAGAGTCTGAAGGATGTTCACATCATGTTGGAAAAGGTACAGGATGACCTCGCGGCTGTGTACGAGAATATTTTGACTAATGTCATCAAAGTTAAATATCGATCCAAGACACTGTTGTTAATGCAATGGGTTGCATTGGCGGAACGACCTTTGACTGCTACAGAATTACGAATCGCGATGGCATGCGATGAGGGGTCTCACAATCCTGGAAGCAAAAGATGGGAAGATAGTGAGGATTATATTGAGTCCGATAGGCGAATGGAAACTTTGATGAGGACACTTTCTGGAGGTCTGGTAGAAATTGCGTTGTATACCTCGGGTTTATATCGCGTGCAGTTTGTTCACCAGACAGTGGTGGATTTCATGCTTACAGAAGGCCTACCATTCCTAGTACAACATGTAGTGCCTCAATCTGTTGGACCCTGTGAGGATGAAGAACAATTTTCCAATAGTCGAATTCTTGGACAAAGTCAAGATCGTCTGTCCAGATCCTGCGTAAATTACTTTAAGCAACCTGAAATAATGCGGAGAAATTGGGCTGTTGAAACTGAAAGGGACGAAATTATCGACGGGGCCAGCTGTCCTCTCTTCAAATACGCCATTACAAATTGGTTGATACATGCTGAGAAAGCGGAGCGGCTTGGACTTTGCCAAAAACATCTGGTCTCACAACTAGAAGAACCGCAAGGTTATTTCGAGAAATATGTTCAGTATGAGTACCCTGTGAGGCTAAGTAGCTATTGTTTACAAAGAGGGGCGGTGATTCTACATCTGATGGCATTTGCAAATCTCCAAGGTCCAGCTAGGTTATTAATAGAAAGGGGTGACTCGATTGAGGATGAGAATCTATTTGGGGTGAGAGCCTTGCACTATGCTACTTACCATGGTCATATTGAAATGGTAAGACTGCTTTTAGACGCTGGTGCAGACGTCGGGGCTACTCAAGATGGTAAATATACACCATTGGAACTCGCTGCATCCCGGGCTCATGACGACGTACTGCAGCTTTTGATAGAAAGGGGAGGAGATATAAATGCCATCTCTAATTCGGGCACTGCGCTGGAAGGGGCTTCACAAAGTGGCGATGTCAGATTGGTGAAGAAATTGTTAGATATCGGTGCTCGAGTTGACCAAGAAGGAAAACTCGATAGCACACCCCTCAAAGCAGCAGCTAGAAAAGGACATGTTGAGGTTGTTCTGCTTCTACTTTCATTGGGAGCCGACGTTAATCATTGCAAAGATTATGGCACAGCGCTTCAAAGTGCAGCTTCAGCCGGTCATATTGAAGTATGTCGGGTACTACTGCAGCATGGAGCCTCGGTCAGTAAAGTTCCGAAAGGAATCGCAGGAACACGTGCAACTGCTCTGCAGTGTGCCGCGAATAATAACAACATCAGTAACAGTATCTCTACGGATATTGAGCTGCTTCGCTTATTGCTCGAATACGGGGCCGACATTAATATGCAAGATCGGAGACACGGGACCGCCCTTGCTGATGCAGTGAGAGTCCATGGGCAAGTCAATGATGACAAGCCGGATATTGATCCACGTATTTTGTTTCTTCTGGAAAATGGAGCTGATGCCAATGCAGGGTGTCCCCTTGTGTTGGCAGCTTCAAATGGCAATCTGAAACTCATTAATTTACTTCTGGATCGTGGGGCGGATATTAATGCATGGGATGAGACAAATGGCAGTGCACTTGCTGCTGCTGCAGGTAGCTGGAAGAGGTCTGCTAGGCTTCTGGATAGTGTTAAGCTACTTCTGAAAGGGGGAGCTGATGTTAATAGATACTATAATTCTGGACATTACCTTACTTCTTGTTCTGCTCTTCAACAAGCTGCCCACTGGGGAGACTTGGAAATGGTAAGTTTATTATTGGGTCATGGTGCTAACATAAATCTCGGCGCTGGAGATTCGGGTGGTGCTCTTCACGAGGCTGCTGCTAAAGGTCACCTTGAGATTTGTCGATTGTTCATCGATTTGGGAGCGGACCCGTATGCAGAGCGGGAATTTGCTGGCAGTGTGCTGCATTCTGCTGCAAGCAATAATAACATGGATATCATACGCCTATTGCTGTCTTCTGGCGTACACGTTGATCATGAAAGTGACTTCCATGGTGGACATGGCACTACTCCTCTTCAGGTCGCCGCTGAAAGAGGGCATCTCGAGGCCTTCAATTTACTGCTAGCTGAGGGCGCAGATATTCATCACACTGGTGGAATTTTCCATAATATGTTACACGCAGCTGCCTATGGAGGTAGTGTTGAGATAGTTGACAAGTGCTTAAAGAGCGGAATTGATGTTAATACTAAGGGAGGCAAATTGTTTGGAACTGCACTGTTAGCAGCTGCCTCAGAAGGACATGCGGAAGTTGTAGAGGCATTATTGGCGAGGGGGGCAAGGGATTATACTGAGGGATGGTGGGGAAGTGCGTGGATGAAGGCGGCGGAGAATGGGCGTAGAAATGTGAAGAAAGTGCTAAAAGAGTGGGGTTTGGAAAGGACGAGGCTACTTGCACCTACAAAGGTTAACTTGCTTAGAACAGATTATGATACAGATAGGGGCGAGCAGCAGAAGGGAGAGTCGATTGGCAGAAGTCAAATGTCCGTTGACAGCCACTAGGGTGTAAATATTGAGATGTTTAGAATCATTTATGGTGGTAAAAGTATTCATTTATCTAGCGACACAAGGTAGAGAAAGAATGAAAATGCTTCCAAGAACTCATACGCGCTAATCGCGGGTACCGAAAGCCGAACTAGCCATACAATCTTAATATCGCTCCATCCCACAAAATAACACTCTGTTTCGTAAATAATGAGGAGTTGAAATTTCTGGTTAATTCATAAAATCATGTGATCAGCTTCCATCGTGTGACGTTTAGAAGCATGAGTTAGTGAGATCCTGATGATGCATAAGGTGGATAATAAACATCAATGCCGATAGTCCATCTCGTATGGCCATGAAACATGAATAGTATTGGACTTGTGTTACGGAATGTCTGCATAACTATCCCCATCAATTAAGATGTTCACCGTGGTTTTGGTTCTCCATTCAAACTGCAAAGTCACCCGAGCAGTCACGGAATACAATTGGATTCATTCGTGTCAAATGACAATGGGGAAAGTGCTGCGCATTATTTTTTCCCCGTATAGATTTTATACGTAGTAACCTGTCTGCAGGCAAGATATCACGGAGTACATCAAAATGTTGGGTTTTGCTGCCGATATTTCCAAAAATACATAATGGCAAAGGCTAATTTTAATAGCTTGGTTCTAATGAGTACATTTGGGCCTATTGATTGGTCTTCAGGAGACTCCGCTGTGGCTCAGTCTAGACATTGAGTACAACCTAATTTAATCCCTGAATATCCTCGATAGATCAATCTTGACCAATTAAAATTGATCAATCATTGAAATTTGCTCCATTCCTCGTTTCCAATCCGCAGACCGTTCCTGAAGCTTGTCTCGGATTAGTTCTAGAGGAAGGATATTGTAGATCTAGTATTAATTAGTCTTTGGCGCGGTCGATAGGTCCCTTGAAGATAATCATTAAAACAATTTTAATTTCGTCTCTCGACTTTCTACTTTTGTTTTTCGTTCTATTGACAATTCTTGTCCTTCTGCTAAAAAAGAATCTCTCTTCATGATTATATATATATACACAAATTAATAGATAAAAGCTTGTTGCAAGTAGTGCCTACCTTATTATAACTTACCCTCTGTTTTCGGTTATTTGTGCAATTTCAGACATAAGATCCTTTCGTTAAATCTAACGCTGGACTGCGTTTAGGGGTCGAAGCGTGTTGTAAAATGAGTGTAAGTCCAGTGTTTCAATTTCTCCTCAATCAAGTTTCAATCTTCTCCCAGAGACTTGCCATCTCTCCTATTGACATATACACTCTTCCATCGCCAAAACCAAAATATCTGTCGAGAAGTGAAAAAAGTAATTGAATTACTCTGGAAGCAATTTACTAATAATTATGTCACAGTATGGGTTAGTTATTCACCAGTCATCCACATACCGCGAAACACCAGACACCTCTTATCCATTCTGCAAAGACAAATACTCGATGTGCTCACTGCGACAAATCTCACTAACATTGCTAAAACAGAAACGGTTATGGTGATGGCGGTAGAGATCCTTATGCCCAACCATCGCCGGGATATCCTCAATCACCGCCATATGATAATGGAGGAGCGATGGGACGAGACTCTTATGGTGGTAGGAAACCCTAAGCACACAAGCTCTATCTGGACTCGATCATCCTATTGACACAATAGCAGGACAAAATGTAGAGATGGCATCCTTAGCACAGAATGGAAGTCAGCCAGGTCAACAAGTCGACCCTAACTATATTCTCAATGCGTGTCGTGATATCGACCGCGAGATCGATGATGCTGCCCAGTACACCGCGCAGTTGGACAAACTTACTGGGAGATTGCAAAATGAACTCGATCAATCATACATCACGAGGGAACTGAATGAAATCGCGTCCAATTCGGCTCTTCAATTCAAGGCTATCATCGAAGAGATTTCCAAGCTCAAGAGAATGCCTGAATCTGGAACTCCAATGAATCAAGGACAAATCGGAAGAGTCTCACGCAAACTCAAGCAAACAATGGACACATACAAGTCGAGAGAAATGGCATTCGAGCATGCGGTCAGAGACCAGATGAGACGAGAGTACCGAATTGTAAACCCGGATGCCACAGAATCAGAAGTGAATGCTGCGGTCCCAAATGCAGAGCCGCAACAAATGTTCCAACAGGCTTTGATGACGAGCAACAGACAAGGACAAGCGAATTCCACTTTGAATGCTGTTAGACAACGAAACGAGGCTATCAAGAAGATCGAGAAGGATATCATAGAAATCGCCACATTATTCCAACAGATGGATGAACTGGTCGTACAACAAGAAGCTGCTGTGGTCAATATTGAAATGAAGGGTGAAGAAGTTGTAGAGAATCTGGATAAGGGAGTTCAACAAATGGATACGGCGATTGTAAGTGCGAGATCAAGAAATAGAAAGAAGTGGTACTGCCTAGGAATAGTTGGTATGTTTCCCTTGCATTCACTCGCCTCCCCCTTACTTCCACCCGCAAATCACTAACATGAAAACCTCAGTCATCATCGTAGCAATTATCGCAATCGTCTTAGCTGTACACTTCACCAGCTCGAGCAAGAGCAATAACGATACCAAGCCTGCCAAAAGATCCATCCCAACTATTGGATCAGCGCGAGTTGTACCAGGTACCGCTTTCACTACATCAGACCGATTGGTAGTACCAGGTGCGAGCTTTCTGGAATCAAAGATAGTGGTTCCAGGCCAGAAATGGAGTGAAGACAAAGCAGTAGTACCAGGTGTAGAATTTACACGAGTGGTTAGAAAGTGGAAGAAATTTGTCGCATGAGCTTGACGGGGAAATGTTTGTATAAATGGCCGGCCCAGATGTGCTCTTGATGTTTCCTTTGTCTTTTTCCGCAAGTAAGCACGTTTGTACGGAACTCATAGTAAATGAGTTGTGCATAAGATTTGGGCGTATATGATGATTTTAGTTCAAGAATTCAAGAGAAGGAAAGAAGAAAAGAAGGAAGGAAAGGAGATTTTTACCCTTTCAATCACAAGCACGATAAGAGAGGTGCCTTCGAGACAATTATCATTTCTTTGTGTAGGAATAAAGGATCTATATGGTAGGAAAAATTATACCATACCTTTTTCTCTAGTTGTAACGCATGTTGCTTTCATTCGCTTCGTTTGATATAGGGGGAAAGGAGTTTTTTTCTTCTGCTTCTTTTGGTTTTGAGAGGTGAGTAAAGCAAGTCACAGGGTGATGGATATATAGTATATTTATAGTGTAGTTGTGGATTTTAATAACATTTTTTGTAATGGATTTTGGGTTTTGTTTGTACGGTTTTATGTTGTGTTGTTTTATTCTTGTGTACTATGTATGTGTTCGTTTTTGTGTGTGTCGGTTGTGCTTGTTATGGGATATGTGTGTTGAGATAGATGGATGTGTGTATGTTTTGTGGTGAATTTATTTTATGTTTTGTATTGCAAGATTTCCTGAGAGACGCAGGGCTTACGCTCTCAACCTGCTACGGACCGCTGGATATTCATTTTAATTACTTCTTCCATATTTGCTATTCAGCCGGATATACTTATTCCACTTCCATCTACTAAATCCACATCTCCTTAAATTCTTACATATATACCTCTCCACACACAAGCTCAAGCTACATCACCCTTTACTAGCCGATTTCCGTATCCACTCTACTTTTAGAATTCGAATCATATTCACTTTATTCCATAATCTTATTCCTCACTTCAGAATCTAGAGTCTATGTATAGTAGGAAGTTGAAATATTCACTCCTCGCTAACCCTCGATTGTCTACATTGTATATATACTTTTCCTCCTATTCTATCTCATCTATAGACATGATTCCTTATCTCATCTTCTCGAGCTCAATTTCATCATGATCATTCTCTTAATGTCATCGAATCCTACACTTATATCTTACCTCATCTTATCACATCCTATCACACCTCATTTCTCCCTTCTTGATTTTTATATAATAATATCTATTTATCTATCTATCATTTACTTATACACCCACTCATTATTTCTTATATCTATCTCCAATCCCCTCCTTTTGCAATATACATTATTATACATCTCTAATACCTTCATCTCCTTCTATCTTCTTTTTCGAACTCTATATTCTATATTCTATATCTCATATTCTATATTCCATTTATATATCCTACCTTCAACCCGTTCCACTTCATTTCATTTTATCCCAATCCAACCCCTCTATTTCATCTTATCCCCTTCTATTCCATCCCATCACATCCTATTAAATCAAATCAATAACCTCATTCACCCACTCGCTCACTCATTCATTCACTCGCCCATCCATTCACATACCAAATAACCATTCCCATCTCAACCTAAAAGGAAAACAATTTAATCTTATTATAAATACTCATATACAAAAGTTTGGAAGCTATAAGGAAGAAAGTGATTAGAATATATATATTTAATCACCTACTCAAGTGTTTACTCCAGTATAATTCCTATTATTGGTGTTGGGAAGAGTGAAACGAGAGGTAATAAAGCAAAATATGAATTAACTAAAGATACCTAAGGTAAGATACATGCCAATACTCCATTCATCAACAATACCATGAACCCATCGACATCTCGTCCCAATTCCCATAACATACCTCCTAATTACCTCTCAATGTTATATCTCTCTGTCTATTATAATATAATAAAAGTGCGCCTGTACCATTCCGTACCGTACGTGCTGTGTTGCCGTGTCTTGGAATCATTATCTAGTTATATATACAAATCCATTCCTGATCCATTTCCTGATTCCATTCCCAAACCATCCTACCTATTAAATATACATTCATATCCAATGATAATTATCAAGAAGCTTCAAAAGCCTCTCCCTCTCTCTCTCGCTCTTTCTGTCCTTCTGCCATTGATTCTGCTCCCTGTATTACTACATCTCCTTCATCTCCTTCTCCGTCCATATTACCCACTCCCTGGCCACCATGATCCCATCCTACACCACCAATAACTGTGCGTAGAACATTCATTTGCTTATCAAATCCCTCAAGGATTTTGTCCATATCCAATTCCTCAGTTTCTCCATTGTCATCATCCTTTTGGTTTCCTCTCCCTTTCTCCCTACTCCTACTCAAATCCTTATCCTCCTTCAAAATAGGTATACCCACCCCATCAATTCTCAACATCAATCCACCCTCCTTCTCCTTATTCTCCCCACCCTCCTCACCTGCACTCTCCCAAATAGGTGCTTTTCCAATCTCGCATCCCATAACCTGCCATTTATCACTTAAACTTTGTGCCCTAACCACTCTATCCCCAGTTTCGTTCATATCAATTATAATAACTCTTTCCTCCCTCAACTTTGCCTTTCCATCCTTGCTTCTCCTAATCGATAATCCCGGTCTAGAACTTGTATTCGCAGTTCTCAACTCTCCAGAATCCTTGTTCGTCAAAGAGTTACTATTCGAAGAATTAGAAACATCGGGCAGGCATCTCAAACAAGCATCTTTCAAATCTTCACTATCTTGATCATCAGAAAATATATAATATATTCTGCTAGGATGATGCGTAGTAGGAGTCTTTGGATTTCCATCTTTATCATCACCAAGTACCGTAGAATCCGATATTAGAGTAAAGAACGGAGCGAAAGAGGATGGTTGTGAGGCAGGCATCTGCGAAAGCTCGTCTTGTTCGTTGGAAGGTTGTTGAATATGTATCAATGGATCTGCGACGTGTGGAGGATGGCCCGATAGCTCTGGGAAAGGTTCACCATGTGTGTATAGCTCCGCAGCAGTCGGTGAGGCAGAAAAACGTTGATCCGGTGAAAGATGTCGAGTGTCTAGAGGAGAAGTAGAATATCTAGTTTCTTGTGGAGAATTTGATAAATAATGAGGATTTTGGGAAGAAGTAGAAAGGTTTCGAGGAGAAGTAGATAGGTGACTTGTATATTCTGGAGCTTGGAAGGATGGTGGATGAAGGGGATCAGGATCATTTGTAGACATAATGTATGCTTGTCTTCCGCGTTTGTAATTGTGAAATTTGTTGGGAAGTATGACGGGGAGGCGGACGTTCGGTAGGTGTTTGGTGTTGAGTACTGATTAGCAATTAATTTTGGTGTAGGTTTGCATACGTCGTGCAATGTGAAGGCGGGGATTCTGGATGCACAAGACGAGATATTTAGTAAACCAAGTTGTGAGGAAGATTGACTGTAGCTTTAGCATAGATGATAACCTTGTTATCAAAAGGGCTTGAGCTCTTGAGATCTATGATCTATCTTATCTACACGTGATTAGGCTATTTCTTGGTTCTACTGTTCTAGATCTCTGCCAAGATTTAACGTTGTATTGATGGGTTGGTATTTAAATGACATGTAGATCTATATCTCTATATCTCTATATCTTGTATTATATTCTCTTTATTCTCTATTCTCTATTTCACACTTTTTGTTATACCGAATATGAAATACTCCATGCAAATATGCCCATCCACCGATGTAATCTCTAACATTCAAAACAAAAACTCTTTGCGCCAATTACGACATTCCCTTAGTATCGCATCATGAAGATACACATGGCTGTGTAAGTGTATAATGTACAATGTATTTGGTTTATGTATATCCTTCACTGCTAAACTTACCTACAACTTAACCCAAGCTTCATTATATCAAAAGAGTAAAGATCCCACCACCGATACCAACCATTATCATCGCAATACCACCAACGAAAACTCTAGCCCATTCAAATGGTCCAGGACCCGATGATCCTGCAGATTTCTTCCCAGTACTAGATGATGTTGATGTTGATGTTGAAGTGAAGCCTGCTTCAGCATTCAATCCCGTGGCAGTTGGATTGTAACTTGCTTGACCAGTTCCAGTCGCAGTTGCCGTAACACCAACTCTTGGGTTGCCAGAAGCTGTCTGTGTAACAGCTGCTTCATTGGGTGCGCTTGATGCACTTGGAATGGCTGCACCTACGCTTGCAAACGGTACGATATTGGACCCAGTGGCATTAAAATCGGTTTGCGCGAGTCCAATTCTGTTATTTTCTAGGTCATAAACAACATAGGCTGACCGTAAGAATGTATCCCCAAAAAGCGTAGGGTTCGAACCGGCGGCTTGAATACCGAGTTGACAAGCTGGATCACCATTGCTGTAAGTTGGTGTACGTCCATCACTTGTGGTGAGAGGTAATACGAGTTGTGATACATCAACCTTAATAGTAGGACCATCCACTCCTCCAAATCCGTAGTTTATGCTTCCAGATTTCTGGGCTAAAGAACAGGGAACGACTACTGCGCCAAGCTGTTGAGATACTGTGGCTCCAAGTTCTTCGAAGATGACAGCGGCAACATTGTCAGGTAGAAGGGTAATAGTGGTTCCAGAATCGAGGATGGCTGGTTGAGCAAAATTGGTTGGGGTCAACTGATCCGTTCCAGATGAAGATTGAACCGAAAGGGAAGTCCAAGCTACAGTGAAGGATGTTACCGACCCTCCACGGGAGCTTGGATAGACATTGACAGTGACTAGGTCACCAGCATATTTTTCCGTATCGATACCACCGAACAATATTGAGCCAGTACTTGATTCTACATTGATATTAGCTTCGTTCCCAGAAATGTCTTGTGAAGAAAAGAAACTCACCTAAATCATCTAACCACAAGCTATAAGCATTGCTATTTATCAATCCTGAAGAAACCAAGACGTTCGGTAAATTCGCATACGTAGTACCATTTCCAGTTTGAATATTTGCCTCGGAGCTATTATATCCAATGCCCATGATTCCAATTGAAATGGAAGTGTCTGTAGCAAGACCCATCGTAAAACTTTTGACTGTAGCTCCACCAATCGAGAAGGTATCTTGAAAATAATCTCCAGTCGATCCAGTTCCATCTACATATGAGATATTGAAGGCGTCTCGATCTACTTCGTGGAAGGTTGTGGAGCTGGAGGAGTCAACTGGATTTTGTTAGCAATCTTCCTCCATAAACTTGCTCGGAAAGTATAGAAATACATACAGCTCCCACCAGGACATCCTCCATCTTTAGTATCCTCACAAATGCTAGCACTCGCACTTGGTACCCAAACATCAGAACTACCCGTATCGATCTGTAAACTCAGCTGTTGTGCCGGACTTCCCACTGTAACATTCGCATAGTATAGGCCACTCGTCAAGGCATTTCCCAAATCTGCTGTCACTGTATCTGCTCTTTCTGTAACTCGTATAACCTCTCCCATACCTCGACGCTGAAGATATTGCTGGCGCCTTTGTAATTGCTGTGCTTCGTTGGCATGATTTTTTGCGATTCCCATGTGCACTGTGTTTGCATTTGCGAAACTCAAAAGCGAAGAGCTCAAGAGCAAAGTTGAGATTATTGTAGATCGGGCCATTATTGCGGTATTTTAAAATGAAAGCAATAGGAGGGCGGAAGAGGAGGAGGGCAAGGAGGAGGATAGAGCGGCTGAGGAGAGGAAGAAGGAGGATTTTAAAAGGTAAAGTCGTGAGTAGGAAAATGGAAGAGAGAGAATCGAGGCTGGGAAAATGAGTGAATCGTATCTATTGCTTTCGGCGGGTGACTAATGGCAAAGGTGGAGTGTGATGGTATCGTGAATGTACAGTAGTTTCCTTGTCCTCTACCACTATTGGATCATTGGGAAAAACTAGGTTTAGACGGTAGCCCTATCCTTCCTTAGCTGCCGAAGTAGCTCTTTTATATACTCGAGTAGCTTTGTCCCTTAAATCAAGGCTATTCCGATGGGTCGTTGTTTTGGTGCTAATTGGATGGAAAGGAAAGAAAGCTGGAGATCTTGGGGGATCAGTGTGGTACCCAGTTTACTCTCTTGTATTTTTAATCTCAAAGCGCGGGTTGAAATTTGAATGGTAAGAAATCTAGATTTCGAGAAAGGATCCGTGTCGTTTAATTTGAAATGTGCCAGGAACATAAACTCTCATCCTTCTCTATGTATCGTCGTGTATTATACAATGGGGGCGGAAAGGGTTTGAATTTATGTACGAATTTTGGTCAAAAAATAAAAATGAATATAAATGAACAAACAGATTCAATTGAGATGAAATCAAGTCCGGGCGAGTTCTCTTTTTCTTTTATTTCATCTGCTCACAACTGCCCACTCAGTCTGAGATATAATATAATATCACTAGGTATTTCTAGGGGAAGTTTTCAAACTTTCACTCCTTTATTCCCTCTTCCCTCCCCAGCCATCATGAATGATGCAGCGTTCCAGATTTTATCAAGATGCTTTGTGAAATGGGAACCAAAGAAACGTGTCCGTATGGCCAAGATTGAGGCTTGTTAAGTCGCTTTCCTGCTTAAAGAAAAATGTAGAGCTTATGACATCCAATCAAATAATGTGATTACTACTTCTTGGATCTGACATTCCTTTCGTCCCAATACAGCCAGCTGAACGCGAATTTTGACTCCGAATAAAGGTACATTCCGCCACCAGTCACGGTCGTACGCGCAATCATGCAGTCGATATTGTACCAAGGAATACTAAAGCTGTTGCATTTATCGCAGCAGTTTGACGAGGTCAATTTCTTTCATTCATCCCATACCTTCAAAGTAACATCAATTCCTTAACAGCGCTGAGCTCTCTCATTGTTATTTTGCCCCTCCTGTATCGCGGATCTATCGGCAAGCCGTGCATTATCTTTTCAACACAACCTTGGGGATATAATTCCTGGGGGAGGAAATGCTTGGCGAAAGCTTGTATTATAACGAGACTGTACGAGGCGGCGGTAACAAGATCCTTCCGAGTTCATCGCATGGATCGCTTCGGGAAGAAGGTAATATGAGATAATTTGGTTGTCCGATCCAGTTGGGTGAAGGGAGAAGGATGAATGAACGAATCTCTGACGGCACATGTTTTGGTTGTTGGTCACCGAAGTAAAGCTGGAGCCTTTGGTGTTTTGCCCTTGTTTTTGGCGGGCGATGGTAGGGGTTTGTTGGAACATACGGAGTAATCAAAAGTTGCCGTGTGGCTATGCAGCGTTGCTATTTTGCGAGCGCGATGATTCATCTGTTCCCTTTGTTCTTTGCTATAATTTGGGGATTTTTCAACGAGGTAAATCTTCGGGATAAGTTTGAAAATGTGCTATGTAAGACTACTGTCCCAATAGCCTACGAGTGGTGGCTGTGTTTAAGCTAATTCCTCTGAGTTGTAATATTGCTGCCGCACATAAAATGCTATTGGCCCCATTGTTCCTAATGATGCATGGCTAGACGGGAGCTCAGCCCTCATGTCATTCTCCTCGAGGTGGAGAGATAGGAGGTCCATCTCTTCATTGTTTCTGATATCACATAGTGATGTTATAGCAGGGTTATGGAGAAGTAAGTTTGTGAGGGAAATATGCAGGCACCGACACGAAAACGATTGCTACAATTGGATTAATGTTTGATGAAGGTTGATACCCCTAAATCAAAGAGTCGATGCTAACTAAATATTCTTGAGAATCCCATCGAAGATATATGTTGAAATTCGAGGTCTGCAAGGTAGAAGAGAGAATATCATATAAATCACCATACGCATCTCCTTGATTCAGCAGTAGATCCAACCCTTCAATGGAAATACATGACTCCTTTGCCATTTGAAATATAGATATAAGATCACCTAATATGACACTTAAACAAAAGAAGAACTTTCTTCAGATTTCGATTAGGTCGATAGACTCTACTTTCTAGAATCGTTTTGGGCCCTTACCGGGAGAAAGAACGAAGGTTGGCTGTTCGAGCTTCCACATACTCGACACACACGATATATTCAATATATTTGAAGTATGTGATATAAGGCAGGTTACCCGCATTAATATACAGTGTAAAATAGTTTGTCTAACGGACATCAAAAGCAGATTTAGGGATTCCAACGATCTTCTCTTCTCGAGTTCCACCCAATGAGGAATTTCAAGTCATAGAAAATTGAATTTGGAGGCATGAAGCCTGTGGATAAGAATATCAACGAGAACCATACAGCTATAGAAGCCAGACGGACGAGGGACAGAAATACAGAAATTATATTCGGAAGTTTTTTATGTATGGAGTGCTCTAGAACCTTGTATTTTAGGCCTGAATAATTTCAATTTCAATTACCTCGCATGAGCACGAACAAGAACAACCTTCAAGCTCCCCGCCAAAGTCCAATTCAAAACCTCTTAAGGAAAAGAAGGCCATGGACAAGAGAAAATGTCAATTCGCCCTCCTGTCAAATCATGGTCTTCGACTTTAAGACTACCTAAATCTTCTTTTCCGTAAGCAAATCTTTGGTTTGGTTTGTCAATTGTTGATAATCTTTCGAACCATCAATTGACTCCAACATCACCAGTCCTCGACCAATCCCCGCAGAGCAACCAAAATACCTTCAACGATGCTCCGACGATCTCTACAAATGGCAAAGCTATGAAAGATCTGCCAAGAAACCGTTTATCCTTCATGATGGTCCTCCATACGCCAATGGTCCTCTTCATGTTGGCCATGCTGTGAATAAACTTCTAAAGGATATCATTTGTCGAACCCAGGTCCAACAAGGCCATCGAGTTGTGTGGGTTCCAGGATGGGACTGTCATGGCCTTCCGATCGAAATCAAGGCTCTCGAGCAACAGCGTGAGAAGAAAGATGGTGAAGGGATATTAGATGCCATTGGGATACGACGAGCGGCTCGAAACCTCGCAAGCAAAACCGTAAAGGAACATATGAAAGGCTTCCGAGAATGGGGTATTATGGCAGATTGGGACAAGGCTTGGAAGACAATGGATAAGACATTCGAAACCAAGCAACTAGCAGTTTTCCAGGAAATGGTCAAGAAAAGTCTTATTTTTCGACGTTACAAACCGGTCTATTGGTCACCATCGTCGAGAACAGCTCTCGCGGAAGCGGAGCTTGAGTACAATAACGAACATATTTCTACATCAGCCTATATCAAATTTCCTATCACGAACATCTCCGGCGAATTTAGAGACTTCGTCCCCAATCTGAGTAAACTTTCGGCATTGATTTGGACTACTACCCCTTGGACGCTTCCCGCGAATAGAGCCATTGCGTTTCATCAGGACCTGACTTATTCGATTGTCAAATGTGATGAGGATCATATTATCATTGCGAGCTCAAGGCTCTCTGCACTACAGGATTCATGCTTCAAAGACAAAGTCATCGAGGTTGTTCGGCAAGATATCCCTGGTTCTGTACTGGGGAACCTGACTTATACCAATCAACTTCGTGGCCAAAACTCTGATGACCAACCTTTGATTCATGCAGATTTTGTTTCGTCTGAATCTGGTACTGGGCTGGTTCATTGCGCTCCTGGTCATGGTATGGATGATTATGAGGTCTGCACTCGTCTTGGTATAGAGGCTATTGCCCCCGTTGATGATCTAGGATGCTTTACTGATGCTGCTCTCCCCAACGACCCAAGTGCTCTGTCAGGTAAGTCCGTGCTAAATGATGGGAACACGGAAGTTTTGAAAATTCTTGGAGATCAAGTTCTGTTCATCTCGAAGTATAAGCACAAATACCCATATGATTGGCGAACAAAACTTCCAGTCATTGTCAGAGCCACAGAACAATGGTTTGCAGATGTTGGAGATGTCAAAAGTGTTGCTTTGGAGAGGCTGAAAGGCGTGACATTCATCCCGCAAACCGGAAAGCAAAGACTGGAAAGCTTCATCAAGTCGAGGAGCGAGTGGTGTATCTCAAGGCAAAGGGCTTGGGGTGTTCCCATACCTGCATTGTATGACGAAAATGGTACAGCCTTATTAACTGAAACGAGTGTTGCACATATTCTCTCTGTTATCGAAGAACGAGGAATCGATGCGTGGTGGTCAGATCCGGAGAACGATCCGGCATGGATTCCAGCTGGGATGAGCGGTACGTATCGACGAGGCAAAGATACCATGGATGTTTGGTTTGATAGTGGTACTAGTTGGACACAGACCGAACAACAAGCCGATGTCTACTCGGAAGGCACTGATCAACATAGAGGTTGGTTTCAATCAAGTTTGTTGACTCACACCGCTGTTGCCGATAGTTCCAAAGCACCTTTCAAGACATTGATTACACACGGATTTACTCTCGATCAAAGTGGAAAGAAAATGTCTAAGTCTATTGGAAACACAATAGCACCAAGTCAAATAATGGACGGCTCCCTTCTTCCGCCTCTGAAGATGAAAAAGAAGGGTGGAAATGTTTCTCAGGGATTTGGCGCCGATGCATTACGCTTATGGGTAGCTAGCAGTGACTATACCAAGGATATAGTCATTGGTCAACCAGTTCTTGCATCTGTAAACTCTGCATTATTGAAGTATCGCATCACTTTCAAGATGTTACTGGGATCAATGCATGAAAGTGCGAGGACCTCGCCAGTGACTAAACTGGATAAGATCGCATTGGTCCAATTGAGAGCAGTCATGGCTGAAGTCGAGTCGGCTTACAACTCTTACGAATTCCATAGGGCTGTGAGTGCAATCAATCGCTGGATACACACTGATCTCTCCGCATTTTACCTCGAGGCTAGTAAAGACAGGCTTTACTGTGGTGATGGAGGGGGTGTGTTGGAAGAAATATTCCATGGTCTCTTGAAAATGTTAACTCCAATCACGCCGTGTCTTGTCGAAGAGGTCTGGAACCATTTGCCTGCTTGGATGGCTGCCGAAAGCCCGGTTCATCCTTTTCATCGAGAATTCCTTGATCCTATCATTTCTCCCCGTCGTCTTTCTCGGGAAGAAATTCCATCTATTGAGCAAGATATTCCTTGGTTATTAGAAGCACATACTGCCATCAAACTTGCCCAAGAAGAAGCTCGCTCTCAAAAAATCATCGGATCGTCCCTAGAATCATCCGTATTAATAGATCTGCCTTCAAAAAGCCTGAAGGTATTCGAGCGCTATGCGGATGAGCTAGAGAGCATATTTGTTGTATCATCTGTGGAAATTGGCGGTGATGTCAATAGAGGAAACTGGAAGTTCTCTGCCCCGTTGTGTCCACCTGGATGCCATGAACCAGGCGGGGAGGGAAAGGTGTGGGTTTTGCCTCCTAAGGACAATAAATGCCCAAGGTGCTGGAGATATGTGGCTCCAGTGGAAGATGAGCTTTGTGGGAGATGTGAAACCGTTACTGCTATGTAAGACTTGTTATTTATTAGTACGTCCATGAATTAAAGATACCCACTCCTTCACTGCGAATCACGTTTCATCCATGCAAATCTTTTCAAGTATTATCCCTTGAGAGAAGCATACAACTGATCAAAACGAACTTATTGCAATTTTCTAATGTGTGTTTGCTTCATTCTTCGTCAACCATATATATGCTCGCAATTTCAATGTTTTACGAGCAAATACTGGTACCGCTAATGCGAATCTTAACTCTAGCCAGACAATGTTGGAGTCAAATCCAACTGGCGGTTAGCGCTAATCCTTCAACAAAAGGTCATTGGGTCTCGCATGGTGCGCCAAGTTAATGAACTGGCTCAGATTTACATAGCCTTGGTCTTTGATTTATCAATTTAATTGTAACGGCCATTAACATGTATTGTTTAGAGACATCTCTACCAATAAATGTGTCCTTCTACAGGGCTAATGTTCAACCTCAAGCCTTAACATGAAGACTGTCTTTGATTTTGGATCAGAAGTCGCTCTTATTGAATCCGGTCTTCAGTCTGAAAAAATGACCATTTTGCTTGAGATATTCAAGGCCACGTCTGGTTTGATCCCGCTCTTGACAAGGAATCGTTGGAGTGAATAAGTACTGAGTACGGAGTGGCCGAAATGGGGGAGTTCTAACATTTCTGCTCGTTCCAAATATAGATTTGTAGATGGATATATTACTGGGAGAGGGGCTTGCACATGTTCAGTATATCTTCTACTGCAACTTTTCAAAGAACATTCCTTGACCTTTTTACTTTTACGTAGTATGGCACGAGATAACGAGTTTGCTTCCAGCGTAAATGATCGTGGACGTGGAAGAGATGGAGACAGGGGTCGTCGTCGCGAAGATTACGAGTCTTCTTATACCGGAACAGCAAAACAGCTAGAGTACCCAAGGCAGTCAAGACAGTCGGAATATTCTACGCAAGCTCCAACGTCTTCGGCAGCGAGTGCTAGACGAACATCTTCTCAAAAGCCACAACTTTCTACAGCAAGCGCCAGGCGAGCCTCCTCTCAGAGGCCACCTCTTTCTGCAGCGGGTGCAAGGCGAGCACCCTCCCAGAAGCCGCCCGTTTCTCTTTATGGTGGATCTAGAGCAGGAGGCTTTGCAGATCCATCCGCACCTGCGTCGGAAGTGGGTACTATTGCAAGCATTGATGGTGGGATGCACAAAAGCGTTAGTGTGGTGGGTAGGGAAATAGAAACAGCGGACAAGCTCAAAGGCAGGAGAGATGATACCGAGGCTCGAGAACTAGCAGTAGAAGAGGACCGTGAACGGTTGGCAAGAAGACAAGGTGTCCTTTCCGATGCTCAAAGGCATAAGAGAATTAATGACTTTAGCCAGAGCACATTAGATCGTACTGCGTTCGCCGGTCAACAATCGTCTCGAGCTCCGACTATTGTAACAGAATCCTCCAATGCATCCCGGGGTACAGAGGAAGGCAGGTCCGGGCGACCCAGAGGACAAAGCACGGCGTCGAAAAGTAGAAGGCCCTATCAGGAATCAGAGCCCGTTCTTATGACGGCATCGATTCAACATAGGTCCAGAAGGCTGACAATGGAACACAGTAGTAGAGGAGACACTACTGTATCATATGAACACAGGCACCATTCAACTCAAATCTATACATCAAGTCATGGTAGGAAAGATGAGAGAGATTCTTCGAGTTCTTCAATCCACCCTAGAGCTATCAAAGCTTCTGTTTCGGGTGTATCGCAGAGCAGGAATCAACCAACCTCCATTACAGGTCGTTCTACGCGCGCCCCCTCAGTTTCTCGAGGTAGTATTAGTGGTGAATCATCAGCGAGAAGTCGCGCGCTTGAGTTCCGACCGAAAGACTCACGATATGACGATAGCCAGTCATCAGCATCTGCTAGTACGTTAAGACCTGGCACAGTTATCAGAGACAGGTTACCCAATAATTTCCCTGAATTTCCGAATTCCGAATCAGGTGCTAAAACCATCTATTCAAATTCAAATGCTTCCAGCTTGAGGAAACCTGCAGGCTCACTCGCTGGCACTGATTTAAGATCACAGTATTCGGGAAGACGTGAGGGTTCGCACACTGGCAGTGTTTTGAATCCGATATCAGCAGCGGGTTCCTCTCGTCATTCACGGCCACCGACAGCTTATCGTGATTACCCAAGTAGTGCTACTAGGTCTCTTTCCCAAGCTGGTAGCCGAAGGTCTCGGGATCCCTACGATGATCGTTAGAATACTATTTACGTATATCTAATATCACAAAGTTGGTGTTTTTAGTGTTCAAAACTGAGCATTTTGGTCTCATCTGGCAGTTACTTGTTATTGTTTTTCTCTAGGCATCTTTCGGCTGTAAGTTCTGGGATGTAGTCAATATTATACATTAATTGAGTGAAAACGGGGTCTGGCGTTTAGTTGTTAGCGTTTGGTAGTAAATCGAGTTAATGCTATTTTGGTTTTTGGTCATCGTTCAATGTTCTAAGTATCGATGTATTTGCAATTGGAGATTCTACTTGCCTGAAACTATAACTATGTCAGTATGAAGTACTGTAATAGTTCGGCTGAGGGGTCTCAGGGTTAAATTTCCATGTGATCTGAATCCATGTTTGAGTAAGTTGATAAATGCGTTTAGAATTAATATTATTGGTTAGAGCTTGGGGAGTGAGGGGACGAAGGGGAGTGTAGTGATCCAAGGTTTGTGGGTAGTACTGACGTGTCATATAGTGGTTTCCGAAAGAATGGTAGGTTAGTGAAGCTGAAGACGCCTTACAGCTCGCCAGTGGAGCATGCAGGGTCGCATCATACACGTAGCCGCATGCTCCAAAGTGCACATAATTCCTTTTACATTTCATCCCGCACAAACCAAACATCGCAACTTCCTATGAATAAATCATAATACACAATGCGGTTAATCAACGCCACCACTCTCGAACTCGAAGAATTCTACGGTGAAAATATCCCCAGATATGCAATTCTATCACACACATGGGATGGGGAAGAAGTTACGTATCGCGACTGGGAATCTGATAGGGAAAGTGCGAAAAAGAAAGCTGTATATGCTAAGATTGAGAAGACGTGTCGACTGGCGTGTGAGAGACGATTGAATTATGCGTGGGTTGATACGTGTTGTATTGATAAGAGTAGTAGTGCGGAGTTGTCGGAGGCTATTAATTCTATGTTTGCGTGGTATAGGGCAGCGGTGGTTTGTTTTGTGTTTCTTTCGGATGTGGTGGAAGAGGGGGGCTGAGCGCTGGCTTATATAAAGGAAGAGGACAGCTTGACAGAAAGCATTTCTAAGAGTAGATGGTTTACGAGGGGTTGGACGTTACAGGAGTTATTGGCTCCTAGGGCCGTTGAGTTCTACACAAGGGATTGGGTTAGATTGAGAGATAGATCGTCGTTGAATCTTACCAGGCTGATCAGTGATATAACTGGTATCGCTACTTGCTATCTCCTGGGTTCGCAGCTTATTGGAAAAGCAAGCATTTCTCTGAGGATGTTTTGGTTATCGCAACGAAGCACGACTAGAGTGGAGGATATGGCATATTGTATGCTCGGAATTTTTGATATCAATATGCCCTTGCTATATGGAGAGGGCGCCAAAGCGTTCGTACGGCTTCAAGAGGAAATCATCAAGGTATCTGCTGACCACACGATATTTTGCTGGTCCTGGACCGATACCGTCCCACCCGCTTGGAATAGTCTCATATCGCCATCACCAGATACATTCAAGCATTCGAAATATTTCCGACCAGAGGGCGCGAGAGAAGGGGTTTCTCCTTATACAATGACCAACCTAGGGCTTTCCATCCGCCTACCGTTTATCCAAGCATGGACTTACAGTTTCATCGTTTTGCGGGCTTGTGGTCATTTCCTTTACCACAACAAGCGGGTTTGTATTCCCATAAAAGGATATCTCCGACCCACTTCCGATTCCGTCAGCACCTACGACAGACTATCATTCCCGCCTGATCCGATATTTTGCGCAGAGGATTGGGCCTCGCCAGAAATAAACATGTATGTCGGATCGAGAGAGAACTCTGCGGATCGCGATGAACCTTCCTTTCCATACAAGTTCGGATCGCGCAGGTTACTAATTACGATAGCAGAAAATATTCCTGCTGAACCACCACCTGGCGCTAGAGCTCATATCAAATACAATGATAGATACATTCCTATGTTCCATTCAGAAACATATCCGCAAGGTTTATTTGATGAGACTAGAAGTGTGTTTACACTCAAGCGTCGGGTTGGAAATGTTCAGAATGGATTATTAACGCTCTGTAACGAGGATTTTCGATGTGTGATTTTTATTAGTTGCAAGACTAGTATGGCGTCGGAGGAAGGTTGGTTTTGTCATATTCTTCCTTTGGTTTCCTTGGAAGAAGATGAAGCGGAGAGATTGTTAGAATCGTTGGAAAGTCAGGTCGCAAGTATGACAAGACAAAATGATATAAGAGCGGCGGTTTGCCCAGAGGTCAGGGGACACTTTGTTATTGATAACTATTCGTATAGAAGTAGTATTTTACCTGCGAGGTTAGAACTCGGATTGGGGATGGAGAAAATCTTGGAGCTTTCAAAAGGAATTAAGAAGTCTTTACATGTTTGATTGTTTAAGAATCATTGAAATATCAATTTAAATCCCTGATATCTATAGATATGAAGCTTCTTTAACATGCTCAACAGCTAAGCGTCAGGAATCTCGAGAAATCAATTCAGAGACGGCAACTTCTTCTCAATAATAAAGTTTTATCTATATAAATACTAAATGAAATAAATACCTTACTTTTCGGCCCTCCTCATTTTAAGCCACTTTCCTCATCAAAAATAACTAAAATCAATATAAATAAATTTATTATATTATTATATTATTTCGTTTTATTATAAAACGTTATTTTTCTTTTATTTCTCTTTTATTATTATTATAATCATTCAATATAATCAAAAAAGAATAATAATCAATATTTTATTCAAAGCCCTTCTTTTACACTATTTTATATTCCACTCATACTAGACAAGTCCGTCTGTGATCGAGGGCATCTTGTAACTCCAGTTCATTTTCTCATTTATCCTCACTAGTCCATCGCATCCCTCAACAAACTCATATTGGCCATTGAAGGACGTTCATTATCACTAATACATCACACCTCACTGATGTCGCCCATCTCACTATCGCTGGTTAATGGCGCTATTCCAGTGCTTTCATCATTCCTGAGCCAATCCACCTGACCAACAATCACTCCTTTCGCTATCAACCATCCCTTAAGTACAAAGTTCCTACTAAGAAAATTCAGGGCTAAGGTCACAAGGAAGGACCTAAGGGATGCAGAACTCAATCCAGCTTCCCAAATAGTCCATCATGTTACCCTTCCCGTTCGCTGCCAGCTTCTTAACGCACTGTTCAAACTCCTCGAAATTTATCTTCCCCAGTCCATCCCTCTCCTTGCCTTCCTGCTCCACACCTTCAATTGCCCACAACTTATATAATATCTCGTCACTTGGTCTCTTTTCTCCCTTTGCCAAACCTTGTTTCTTGACCTGCAAGGACCTTGGAATCGACGATTCAAGGCTTGATTGATATTCTCCGGTCGGCCTTTCCAAAACCACATTGTCAGAAACAGAGTTGGGTCTGAATTGAGGGAGTGTAGGATCTCTATGCTCAGACAATTGGGAGCTGGTAGTGCTGGTAGCCTCATCACACTCTTGTTCTTTCTCCTTGAGATGTACATCAATATAGAAGGAAAGAGTCGGTGGCAGGAGAGACTGCAAAGCATTGAGAAGTTCACGCTGTTGATCAAGGCTGAGATTTTCTTTATCAACATAATATCTCCATGCCCTCAACGGATCGTCCATATAGTAGGGAGCATGTTGAAATTCAAGTACTGCCATTTCAAGGTCAAATTCGCGGCGTGAGACACCTGATAATACACAGTCGGGAACGGTCGCCAAACTCGGCACGACATCGACGCGACCGGGCTGCTCCACTTCGTAACCTGTAGCCGCTAAGAGTTCATCTAATTGCCTTTCTCGTACATCCTCAATTTCTACCTCAGGAATATCAGGCCAGATGGGCCGTGGATTAGTATCAATATTAGTGATATTTGTTCTCTCGATAATACCGCCACCCATGTTCTCAGGGTGAACTAGTTCCTCTTCTTCGAATTTCTTAGCCCTAGCCCACCTCGTAAAGTCCTCGGTACCGAAAAGATGTCGATATTTATCACGTTCTTCCTTTGTCTCTAAGACCGCCACAGCCAAATCTTCTTTAGCCCGGAACAATGGATCCAGAAGTTCATTATAAGCTTGCTGCGTGACTTGGTACAAGATCTCCTTCCCCACGTCTTTTTCCGCATCAGATATCTCTATACCACCCCAACGTTCAGGCACGCTTCGCGAAGACGTTGAAGGATTCGAGCGCGTATCAAAATCATCCAGCTCCTCAGCAAATCGTACCTTGGAGGAAGATCGAGAATGAATAGTCGGCCGTTGCTGAAATTGAGACTTGGAGGATTCTCCATCAGCACTATTTGTCGGAAGATCTTCCTCGTCGTTCCAGTCAACCGGCGGTGATGCTCCTTCTTCTTCATCAGTGTAAAATTGTCTTCGCTTCCATCGCTCATGCAGCAAATACCGCGATTTGTGTCTTTTCAAAGTGTGCTTTATAATGAATGGGCGGGCACTCTCTGGAATGTTTGATAATGTATATTCAGGTCCACAAACTGCTTGGACGTCTTCATCGGTGATATTCAAATCACGTCGACGGCGTTCGAAGGATATGGTCGCTGCCTCAGCGGGAGCCAAAAATGGATTTTCAGTGACGTGAGATTCATCAAGTAGAACGGGGTCATCCGAATCCCACTCCGCATCGCTGGCTTCCAGTTGTTGTCGGGTAATTTGTTCAATATAATCATCAACGGTATCTTCTTCATTGGGGTAGTCCATCAAAAATCGCCAGTAACCTTGTGTCCTCTCAACCGGTCGCACTGCAGTAGTTGAAATCGAACTAAAATTGATAAGAGTATCAGCTCGACTTGAAGTGTCGTTAGCACTTGGCCTCATCACACCCCTTCCATCATGTATCTCCAGCTCTCCGTCACGGATACGTTTGCCCTCGCCAGCACGCAACTCTACTGATGGATTTGGCCCTGAACCTGCTTGAAACAATTGGCCGAGAGCGTTACGACCACTAAGGTGAGCATGTGCTTCCGAGCTCATCATCTGCTGTTCGTCAAGACCTTCTAACATATCTCTATGCATTTGGCGATATAAAACGTAGTAAGAGCGGAACATCCGTAGGAAATCCTTCCTATCGACGTAGCCATCATCATCTATATCGTAACCTGCAAATATCACATTCCATTTATCCTTTTGTTTGCGGTATGCTTGACCTCTGAGAAATTCCGAAAATGAGATGAGATCATCTCTGTTACTATCATAGAAGGCAAACATCCTGTCGAATATAAGACTTGGGGCATGATGTCTGTAACCACCGCTGGGCACTAAGCACCGGTCAAATGTTCTTCTATCCATGGCTAGGCGAATGTCATCAGGGTCTTCTGGCCAAGGTGTGTTTGCCATGAAATTCCATTGTTCAAAGTAAGCTTCCAATTCCGGTCTCTCAAACCCCGTCTCTCGAGAATATTTCGCAATCAACTCCTTAGGCAAGATCTTGACTCGGTCTATGTTATCGGGCTCTCCAGTATACCATACAGGTTGTACTTGCCTTGGACCGAAAGACGGGGCTGGTATTCTAACTTTGTAGAATATATGCGTCTTGGTATGTATGCCCTGTGCTTCGCATGATTCACATAGATCGAAGTCTGCACAGTTTGCACATCTGTATCGAATTCCTCGAATAGGAACTACCGAACAACCGTTACAACCACATCCTCTGTGTACATATGCATTTCGCCTGGTAGCATCTTCGGAAACACGAAACAGAAGTTGGACAATATTTTGCCCGTTCCGTTCATCCTCTGCAGTTGGCGCTCTTCCTGCCTGGCCAGAATCATATCCCGGCCCATCATCCACCACTGTATCTGCATCTGTCAAAGGCCTGGCTATAGCATTCGCATCTTCATCTCCACCTGATGGAATGGGTCGTAGCTGAGCAGTTATAGGCTCATTGCTTGTTTCTGTGCGTCGCCGTCGATGGACCGCATTGCTTCGACGTAGTCTGCTACCACCAGTAGTGTCTCGTGTATCAGCGACTTGTGTCCTATAAAGATAGTATATTCCATATGCAGCGGCACAAGTTGTGATGGCCAATACCGCTCCCCTACTCCTCGACAATGTATTCGAGGCTGTAGTATGTGAGGCTGACATTGCGGCAGAGTTGTTGTATTAGCGTTTGGATGGCCAAACTATCGCTGGAATATCTAGGTTGAAGCAACCAGAACCGCAAGAACACATGGCGCCATCTGCGATGCTGAGTTTAAAAGTTCCCCGGCGTTGTGCTATGATGGTTGTAATTAGGTTAAACAAAATTGTTTTGCTTGATGGATTCTAGACGCGACAGAAGCGGATTCGCCTTGTGTTGTGTAGCTTGTCAAGACTATGAATTTATTCAGCCTTCTTCCTTATCGCTCCGGCTTATCATCACGTGATATGGCATTCCCATTCCCGTTCCCATTTGTCTCTCAGTTCTACAAGTCTACGAGTATAAAAACACTTAGCTACACGCTTCATTTACAAGTATCTCACAGATGTCACAAGTAATGATGACCTGAAAATAATCGCTGACATGTAGAAGTATTCTGTAATCATTGCGTCGGTATATTGAAAGGTTGGATATCCTACACGCCATAACACCAATGGTTGACCCATTATCCCAATTCTTTTATCCTATCCTGTGACTCCCTTGATAACAACACCTATAAAATGATAAAAACATGTATCTAGCATTGCGGCCCCTTGATAATTCTCAGCTACTCTCCCCTTATCCTGCCGTCCTTGGACTCCGCCTTCTCCCTGTACTCTGCGCAAATATCTCAGACCCCGGTATCGTATTTTCTCTTCCCTCTAGAGCAACCACACTAGATTTTTTCGATAATCTCGGCTTCGGTATCTTACCAGTTGCCTGCTTCTTGAAAGGAGGGGTTGACCCATCGGAATCAAGGGATTTGGCCGAACCGTTTGACATTAAGCTTGAGCTTAGACTTTGAATCTCTGAGTTCAGTGACCCGGCGTTTATGTTCGCGTCGATCTCCCTAAGTCCAGTTGGCTTGTTTTCTGGTTCTGTGATGGGAACAAAAGCTACCTCATCATCTAAAGTAGCAGGAGGCATAGAGTCATTGTATACCACTGGGATAACAACTTTGCTTGGTGATGCCATGACTTCTGGCCGACGAAGAGCTGCTAAGAGCGTTTCATGCGCTTCAGTCCGTGGTAAATGCGTTGGATAATGATACTGAACCTTCTGAGGGGTCTCTCCTGTTGGCTCGTACTCCTGCATCGCCGAGCTACTAACTAAAACGCGAAGATTTGCAAGTGGTTGTCGAAGGTTGTCATCTAATGGAGGAAGGTTCTCGGCTAATGCTATTGTCTTCGAGGTCATCTCACCCCCGAGGTCTTTAACACGTTCGTACGTTGATGCAAAATGGGAACCAATGTTGTCATACGAAGATTTGACCTTAGTTGATAGACCTTGGAGGGATTGTGCATGTAGATTGTGATGTTCCGCATTTTGCGCTCGTGCACGAGTGACAAAGTCATCCAATGCTTGCATTTGAGTGCTGATATCCTTCATTTGTTCATCGACAATACGAATGGTCTCATCATGTACAGACCGGGTTGTAGCTTGAAGAGATGTGTTGTGCTTATTCGCAGCCATCCAGTCATCCTTCAACTTGATCTTCAAGGTTTCTCGAGATCTCAAGACTTCCTCAACGAGTTTCTCTTCCTTTTCATTCCATGAATCCATACCTTGACTATACTGGGCCCGAGTTGATGCGAAAGTCTCGTTCGACGATTGAATATCCGTTCGAATGGCTTCAATTTTGTCACCAAGACGTGCATCTTGAGCTTCACCTTGAGACATTATCAAGGCCGAGATCTGCAAAAGAAGGTTTTGACGATCCTCGCCGGCTTGCTTCCGTTCTTCTTGAAGTACTTCATCAATTTTCGAGTTTATGGCGGTATTTGATTCCATTGCGGCTTCACTAGCGGTATGAAGCTGCTGTCTCAATTCATTTGCCTCTGCCTTCTGTGCATTGACGTGTTTGAGGAGATCTTCAAATATCGACTTAAAATCTCGGCCGAGAGAGCTATATGATCCATGAAGTTGAGTGTGAAATGCACCCAGCTCGCTAATGACTTCTGCAGAAATTCTTTCTGCTGCAACGGACAGCCCTTGGAGACCTTCTCCAACTCGGACCTTGACATCTTCCCGAAGAGTTTTAATCTCCTCAAGAACTACGTTCATCTCTTCCTTGGCCGAGTCAGTCTGCTCAGACACCTCCTTCCCGGAGTTTTCAAAAGCAACAACATTCTCTTCTAAGAATGCTTGTGTTGCGGCCAATTTTTCCAGTTCGCCGTCAACGAATGATTGCATTCGGCTTGAAACTGCAGCCATAAGTTCCTGTTGCTGAGCTTGGAACTCTTCGACCCGTGATTCTACAAGATTCGTTACCTCAGAGACATGAGCCTGTGAGAGTCCCCAAGCATTTCGATTCAGAGCCTGGAGCGCCGACTTTCGCCTGTTTTTATCATGAAGACCGCTAACATCGCTTACTGTGCGTCCCAAAGTGGAAAGAAGCTCACTTCCGACAACACTGAGTTGTTCCTCGGTGTGCTGATGAGCTTTTCGAAGCACGGATTCTTCCTCCAAAGTTCGGCGAGTGTTTTCGAGTACCGATTCGGTTTGCTCTAGAACTCCCTTTGTCTCATCTAAAACGGATTCTGCGGCCTCAGCCTTTTTCTTCATGGTCATGAAGTTAGAAGTCAAAGAGTACAGTTCTTGGACTTTGTTTCGGAGATTCGTTTCCATAGTTTCGATTTTCGCTGCTTGTTCTTCGCTGAGTATCCTCCGTGACTCACTTTCGCCTCTGATCTCCTCATAATTCTCATTGGTAAGATAGACCCCATTTCGTTGCCTGGCCGCAATGAGTTCACCCTTAAGCTTTTCGATTTCGTATGTGAAGTCTTTGAGAAGTGTTTTTTTGTTCAACATTTGATTGACTTGAGGTTTATTACGAATATTCTTAGCTCGAAAAGCATAATCCAAGGTCGAGATTGTCTCTTCCAAATTGCTCTTAGCAGGGGAAACCGTAGCAATGATGCATGTTTTCGTCCGGCCACCCAATGAATCTTGAAGGAGACGTGTGAGTTTTGATTCCCGGTAGGGAATATGGACATCACGAGAACTTCGATCTACCAGAGCATTGATGACACGTCCAAGAGTCAATAAACTCTTGTTAATCAAACCAGCTTCAACAGCTCTCTTGTTTTCAGCACCACTACGTTGAATGTTTTCACTCCCTGCCAAATCAACCAAGTTCAGCTTGCCAGTGCTAAGATAATCCTCCCCATTTTCTGCTGTTCTTTTGATGTAAGCGGTTACTGTAAAGACTGTATGACTCCTACTACTAAGATCGTTGCATTTGGTTGATGCAACCTGTCTTTTGAAAGATCCATCCTGCAGGATCTTAACACCATCCCTAGCGGATTTGATATATGATTCCTCCATGCCCTGAACAATTGTGCTGGAACTTCCCTTTTTGCTGGTATCGTCGTAGATCTTTAACTTTATGTTATCATCTACTGATATCAAATCGCGCAGTTCTTCGTTGTAGAGTTCGATGAATGAACATTTTACAGAGGATTCTGCATCGTTTAATTCGAGTTTGTTGAATAAAGCATGAAGAACACGAGGTATAATTCCAGCATTATCCGAAAGAATTCCGAGATGATCATTCATATTTCCGGACATTGTATATGTTTTCCCAGTACCTGTTTGACCATATGCGAATATTGTACAATTATATCCCGCGAGCATCTAAATTTGTCAGCAAAGCCATATAAATATTAAGATTAAACTTTACCTCATCAAGAATTGGAGTTACGACATCATCAAAAATCATTGCTTGGTCTGCAGCAGATGAAAATACTTTGTCGAAATGGTAACTCTTGTTGCTGAGCGCGCTGGGCCCCATAGACAAATCAAGATTCTTGCCCTTTACTCCCTCCGTTGAGAGAACAACTCCACTGTTTTCTCTAACTTCGCGCTCATTTCGACCTCTACATCGTACCACGACGTTGATATTTGTCTCCCCACCTCCATCATGTTCAAAATCTCTTTCCTTCCTCTTCGTCCCTGTGGTAGATGTCGCAACTGATATGACTGATCCTGTTGGAGATACTGCTCCAGACCTCGACGGTGGTGGCATTGCCGAGCTTGCTCTCGAAGTGGAAGGTCTTGGTCCTGCTAAAGAGCTTGAAGGTCTTGGTGGAGGTCGCATACTGTTTATCCTTTTATTGACAGCCGGCGCTGCTCGAGGTATTCCTGCCATTTGTGGATGATTGCGATTATGGAACAAAACTTATTATGCCCCGCGAGGGAAAGAACTTCTGTACGGTGCGATGTTGATGTTTTGTTTGGATACACAGACTCAATTGATAGAGTTAGAGATAACTGCGAATAACAATGTACATGTAATTAGCAGCAAGCATGTAGATGACTTAATGCTGATCGTAGAGTTTCCAATGAGTAACTCTTTTACCTTAAAAAACCCTGGGAGTATAATGTCGTCGTACTGTTTTTGTCGTAAATGAACGAATGGATGTTGATGTTCTTTTCCTCGATCAACATTCATTTCATTTCTCCCACCACATCTGTTGCCTCGGCAACCAAAACTAATCCCACTCTCTAACCTTATTACTCCATACAAAGCTTTGCATCACGAGCTTTCAAGGCCCAAGGCCCAAGCCCCACTAACATGGCATCACTCTGGAACCGTCTCACTCCTCATTCGCAACTGTTCAAGCAATATCCAAATAACTTCAATACACCTGCACCATCACCTTCACCATTATTTGTTGGTAATTCAAATACAAATGTAGCAGATATGTCCCTATTCAGTGCTCAAGTCCATCCTGGACGAGCTCTGGGCTTTCTAGGTATACTGATAAATGCAATATATCCCTTCTTAAACATCGGAAACTGATAGTATATCCTCAGTCCTAGGAGCTTCACTTCACGAAATCATCACACGAATAAAAGCTGAACCACAACGATTCCCTAAACTCGACTTAACTTATGAGCCTACCGCTCCTGTCGATGAACCTGTTATTCTCAGTCTACCCTCTAACGGAATCCGCCTACGCTTTGATGGACCTCAGCAACGTCTGCGACTTATAGAAGTGTTAGATTTTACAAAGAACAAACTTACATATAACGATCGAGAGGTTTTAAGATCTGGTGGAACTGCTTCACCAACTAACGCTGGGACCGGACATCTTACTGGACCAACCTTTCGACATATTTACAAGAGTTTAATTGGACCTACGTTTCCTGGAGAATACATCAAGCCCGAAGCTGGAGATGAGACTGGAATGGGCCTATATGTGTTATCATACCCCGGAGTCGCTTTCTCGTTCCCTATTCATAAATCGTCTTGGTCACCCGGAAAAGATGTCGTTTCGTTACTCTCATCATCCGCTAGCCAACCTGCTTCTTCTATGGCGATATTCTCGGGAGAATCTTGGCCCGAGGCACGAGATAATCTGTTTACGCAGACACTTGAACCCCTCAAAACATTTACACCATTAACAAAGGGTCGGGAGCAGGTTGCAGATGAAATTGGCCTCGTTAGACTTTATGGCGGGGGCAAACTTGAGGTCGTTCGTCGTTTTAGCAACACCCCTTTTTGGATTCTTCTAGGCGAAACAACTCCCCAAGAGCTTGTAGCTGAACTTGGACCACCTGATGCTATATATCGAAAGAACGATCAAAAGATGTCGATTCATAAGGCTCGAACTGCGAGTAGCACCGGTAGGCGTCCAGCTCAAACCGATCTACGAGATGACTCTACCGATACCGACCAATCTTCAGCTCACACTGCGACGGACGATTCCGATGATGATAGTGGTGAAGGAGAAGTAGCAGGAAATGTAACTGGGGAATGCTTTTACAATTATTTTTACCACGGTTTTGATGTCTTAGTCTCCACTCCAACTTCACCGTCACAACTTCCACCATCTAAAGCTCGTTCTCAACAGGAAAACAGTCGTATCATTCCTGTAGATGCAACTGCACGTCTGGTAGCTACAAAAGTGATATTACATGGGAACGTTCCAGGCTCATATCCCTTTAATCGCCATCGCCGCTGTCGCTGGGAGATCGAATATTTATCCCCAAAACCCAAATCTAAAATAATGGCCATTAACTCCGAAACCCCTTTTGCATCCGTCGAAAGTAGTCTTTATAACGAATGGAAAAGCATTTACACCAACGTAGAAGAAGCAAAGCAAAGACAACGCGGTATGGTACTGAATCGCGATTGGGGGGATAGTCCCGGTAGTAGTTGTGAACTGCTCGGTGGTTGGGAAGATAGTTTAGGTGAGAAGCGAAATGCTGGAAAGGAGGACGAGAAGGGCCTGGGTAATACTACGTTATTTGGATTTCCGGGATTGGTATTTGAAGTACTGAAGAATGGAACTGTTAGTGGTGTTACGGTGTTTTGATTTGAGGGGGTAATTGGAGCTTTTAATGGGTAATTGGATATCAATTGTTTTGTGCTAGGTCAGGTGTTTTTTGGGTACACATTCTTTAGACTGTGTGCATAGATAGGTTGGTTACTGGATGGTTCAAGTATAGGCACTAGGGAGTTCACAATATTTGATGATATCAAGATATAGGATTATAGCATTGACATTCTGAATATTAATTTTTTCCTACTGAGAGACTGGAAGGTTGCCTACCCGCTGCTAGATTTTCTTCTCGCCTCACCTCAAATAAAGGCTATCCAATGACAGTAAAAATACTTTGAGTTGTTGTGTATATATGTAACCAAAGATACAGAACCACGACATACATATTACGTTTCCAAACCCATCACATCACATCGCTACTTCAGCCAGCTTTGGCTGCTACAACAGCTAATTTCCTAGAAGCACTGCTCTTAAACTTAACATTCTAGAAGACTCATCCCCGTCCATCCTTTCGCATCGCTATAGGGATGAGGCCATCGCTACGGCTATGTATTCCTTGATATAATCTTAAAACCAAACCCACCATTCGCTCAAGTACAAGCAAGTCCGATGTATCCAGCACCCAGTTAATTATAAAGCCACTTTAATTCAATTCAGTTCAGTTCATAGCGCTCCCGGAAGTAAATCCCCCATTATAATTAGAAACCGACAAAATAACTCAACTTATTTTTTCCATTCATGAATCACTATATACGCGATCTACGTCTGCGGGAGCGTCTTGAGCCACTTGGCGGAATCGGGCCAAGTCATTTATATTTCAGAGTGCAGTGGGAGTTTATTGATCTTGAGCTGTGTCTATTCTGATTACTACTTCTTTTCGTCGCTAGCTATAGCTAGTGGATATGATATCCCGAGGCAGGATGTGTGTTGTAGAACGATGTATTGATCCTGCATAGCTAGCTGTGCGTTAGGCAAAAGCGGGAAATTTGAAAAAGAAAGAGGTTTGTGGAGACCATGGTGGCAAAAGACTATATATCACCCGACGTGATGAGTTCTGGCTAGAATTATTGGATTGTACTTGGCGATTCTCACTGGCTCCACCGTATTAGCCGGGGTATTCGGAAACAGTACGATCTCTGCAAGTTGCTTGTGGAGGGCTATCCGGATGATGTGGTGAGGTTGATCGAAAAGGCCACCAACTTTTGCTTGACGACTCCTACGGTGTCGGTTGAAGCCGGGGTGGATATAATTGGTTGGAGGTTGATCAAGTGATGTTCAAGGACCAAGGTGACTATACTGTGAATTTTGGTGTTAATGGCCTTCTAGTGCTTGGGGATTCTCTCCTGTTTTGTTAACGCCGGCAGGAGCAGTCCCGTAGACTTGTAGATGTCTTCCAGGAGGAGCTGATCCATAGCTGTGTATTGCCTGCCAATGGCTTTTGAGTTTAGAAGATGATTGTTAGGGTAGAGGTGAATGCTTAGAGCTAAGTGCTGTGTGTAAAGCCTCAGTTCCTCTTCATTAAGTGCGACGAAGGTGTATGCAGGTGGCCAGAAGACAAGGTTAGAAACTTGACTACTTCCACGATATAGATGTGGAGCTATAACCATGGTTGAGATGAGTTGTGCTTTTAATGGGTTTGCTAATGGCTGAACGAAGGTTGGTGAAGTAGGTGGAAGAAGGTATCAGCTTCTTCTATACAGTACTAGAATTGCCGAAGGGGGTGGTGTTCTCTGTGGCTAAAAGATAAGTATATTGCTGTAGTGAACATTTGTATTCATAACAGGAAACTAGATTGAAAACATCAATCTCTATCCTGGCCCAAGAAATAACTGATCAGTCATTTCACAGTACCTTGGATATAAATATGTAGTCTTGTCCTGCATCTATCATCTGAACCTGAAGTATTTTTTGGTATTTGGGGTGATAATAAGTCTCCTTGTCCGGAATCACTTCCTGAGCTGAAAGATTGTTTAGTATTCAAAATTAGAAGCTATCCTCACTTCTTGAAGTAGTCATCTAACTGTAGTATTGTTGGCTATCCGAAGTTTTAATGAATCTTCTCGGCTCGAGATCATCCCTTGAGCTGGGGAATTGCTTGGTATCCATCCTTATTTTCGAGGTGAATGAGCGAGCTGCGTCACTTTTAGTATTGTATGTGGGTTGAGTAATGACGCTTTGAATCATCACGAATGGGTTGGAATGCTCCGTGAGTGGTCACCATCAGTTAAACCAGGTAAACACCCTCCGCAACGAGGAATGCATTCCTCTTCACCAGTAATCCATCATTGTACAAGCAAGCGAACTTCAAATAACTTCAAATAGCTGGGTGTCAATGCTATCAGTATTCGCATACTCTGACAAAGTGGTATAGCAGGCGTTCTCTGGACATCCGTTCATACAGATATAGACCACATTTCACTTTGGCCGAACAGATCTTCCAAAAATCAGTGGGCTTTTATTGCAAACTAAACCTCTTCACCTGAACAAGCTCTACCCCGAAATTCCCGTGTGCCACTACATACAGTGAAGAATTCTCCACAGTAGTTAAAACTACACTTGACGCAGATCCGGCAATTTCCAAATGTAAAGCTTCTCGAGCCTACAATATTGAATTCTTAGTAGAGAGCGCATCGGAAATTACAACACTCGAGATAACAGGTCTTTCCTCTTCCTTTTTGATTCCCCATCTGGATTCTAACAACACATGGTAGATGTTTGGTGGTGAAAATTATTTAATAATTTACTTTGGGAAAAAGTTGCTTGGCTCTGAAGAGAACAAGTTGCTTGTAAGAAACGAACAGGCTTGCAGGATAAACCACAATTCCTCACTCCAAAAGGTAACGAGCTCTTTTGAATAGAGACATACTACCTCTTTTAGTTGTAAACCACCATGCCTAGGTAAAAACAACAGGGAAAGTTCTGCTCTGCACTATTCATAGACTTACTCGCATTGCACAAGAATCAGACTCCGTACGTACCCAGATATCCACTTCCACGCCTAAATCACTAGATATGGCAGTGAGAGTCACATACTTTAGGACTAAGATATATAGAGACAAAGTCATTGTAGAAGTTGGAGAACTCTGTCGTCGTATACTTACAAACTGGAAAGGAAGAGAACCTGTGTATTTTCAGCCTCAAGATATCTTCTTGTTGGAAAATATAAAGATCCTACAAAGAATCTCGAGAGGCATACAATTGGGGAGCAATTTCACATCCAATATCATGGTCATGGCCTTGGAGCATGCGCGCCAGTGGATTTTCTATATATCTTCAGTGAACATATTCATAGCGGTAGGGGGATTCCTTGGGAGGAATAGGCTTAAGGTTAAGTAACTTTTGGCACTATTGTATCCTCGGTCGGCTAAACTCCAGCGAGGCTGAAGCCTAATCACGAACTTTGAGCCTTGCTGAACGAAAGCTCCTCATCAACACAACATTCACAACACAAGACAACACGAATTCATATTCCATGGCTCCAATACGTAGATATCTACGTATAAGCAAATACTCGGTGCTTGAATGTCGCATTTATGTTGACAATCCAGCCTTGGCAGAAAGTTGGCTACTGAATTCAAGAAATCCAATCTTGCCCCGAATTATCGAAAAGGTTCGTCCCCTGGTTTTACCAAAGTTGCGCGAAGAGCAGGAAAGGAGTAAGTCAAAGGGAAAGAAGAAGAGCGTGAAAGATGTTGTCACCGGTGGTCAGTGAAATAATTGAGGATGCTCTCTACGGTGTAACACCCATTAACAATCAGCTCCAGAGGACTTCGAGGTGTCCATATTCCTGACGGAAACTAGCACGCGACATTCTATTCTATTTAAACAAAAACACTTTCGAGATACAAACAAAAAAGCTTTGCAGTCTAATTCTGACAAACTTACCGGTGGTACGAATAATGCGCCAATTGAAGTAGCTGATGGTCCAGCTGTTGTGCGAGAGGAAAGTGAAGAATCTATTTCCTTGCAAGACATACCTGAAGCAGCAGATGACTCCGATTTGTTCATCAGTGAAGATGAAGGACCTCGCGGATCAAAACGATCAAGAGATGCACGAGAATCCACAGACTCCAATTTCAGTCCTCTATCCAAACGTCAAAAAGATGGAGATACATCTGGGGATGAGGATGACAAGAAGAAAATGGCAATGGATACATCGTACGATGGTTTCTCAGTGAATGGTCGCGTGCTATGCCTGGTAGTCAAGAGGAAGGATAAGAAGGGCAAAACTTCCCCCGCGGATGGAGGTCAAGCAATGTTGGAGGATTGGATCACGTCTACGCAGTTACCACCACAGCTAGAAGATGTTTAACTTCACGAGTCCGAAAGCATATTTGATCGCATGGATATACATTTTCAATAGCTTCGGGCATCTACCCGTAAGAATTTGGTTTGCAGGCCACATCAGAGGTAGCTACCGAGCTGCTAGTTTGGGACATGTCAAACGCCCATACTGCTTTAGCGAAACCTACACTACAACAGCAAGAACTACAACAGCAAGAAGCTTTGTTGAGAATGGACGTCTCATTAAACTTTTCTTTCCTCAAATAACCAGCCTGATTACAAGAGCACAGAAACTCTAAATATCCATCTGTCCACTTCGGAGATATGACCTAAATTGGGGAAGAGTTAAGGAGCAGTGCCAAGAGAATTCATTCTCAAACCCCAGAACTCAAGGTCTTTGCTTTGAATATAAACTTTATTTTATCACTTCGTCAGCATCTGTCTGGTATGGTCGCGGCGCATATTTTCACCATGTCATTTGCAAAGCTCGTACTAAGTGCGCTTTGCAAGAGAAACTCGTCACGCTACCGTATTCTAATTATCAATGCAGGCTCCCGTCTTCTTCCACAGTCGGCTTGAATCGGTGTACCACTCTCCTAATCCAACTTGTACCATATCAAGCTCAAGCTCAAGCTTTCTTTTGGCTAGTAATCGGCCATCAACTCTTATGTGGGCAAAGAAGTCTACGTGCAAGGGGTGTAAAACATCGCAAAGAATCGGCACTATTTAATATTTCAATTCGATGGCACAGTTTGCCGGAATGTTATAATCCTATTTAGTGATAATGATCACTATCTATCATTTCCGAGAAGAGCCAAGCCCAGTTTCTTTGCTCAGCCCAATACATGTGCCAAGTTACAGCGTGAATATCGATCGCTGAGCAAGACCTAAAGACTAGCCATGGATATACATTGGAGCCCAAGTTGTTGACTTGCAGGCAACGGAGTTCTGCCCTTTAATGTCCTTCGAAATGCCGCGTCAACTCTAAGTTGGCAGGTACTTCAAACTTTCTTTTATAGCGTCGAGTTTCATGGCATGTGAAATCGTGGTCACTTTGTTCCTGGGTTTACTCCACTTGGTCCAAGCCTCAGTGTCCACTCCCTTCCCGTGCGCCCTTCCGTCTTTGCTCTCAGACTATACGTCACTGGAACGTGCGCGGACAAGATAAATGATATGAATTTACGAGCCGTTATTTTCAATAGGTACGAAAGTATAGTCGGGTTCAGATTGGACTTTTTATTGGTGCATCAACAAAGCTACGTCTGTGAAATCACGGGCTTTTTGTACTAGTTCATGTATCACCCTTCTCTACAGGAAGATGGCAAAAGTCTTATCTCCCCGAATATTTTGTTGTACTCTTTGGAAAGATCATGGCGTTTGAATTGAATTCCTATTAAAGGAATATACTGACAATCATTGGCCGTCCTACTCCTTAATGGTCGCTTGAAATGGCGTTTGCTATGTAGAGATGGTTTGGCCGTTGGCTCCCTCCCTGAACTCTAATTGAGCCCTTGAGGTTAACTTTTAGGTCACGCCAAATGATGGTGAAACGCCACAAGAATTTTTGAAAAAAGTATAAATGGATTTGTTCTTCCTCAACGTTCATGAACCGAAAATGGCATAGGTGCTTGTGCTTTGCTAACTTTTTCCTATGTCCAATGGAAATTGCCCCATGAGCTACCTTTTTCGAACTTGCCACTGGAGATTTTCCGCATCACACACCACCATACCTTCTGTCCATGGGGATTGGCTCGCATATATTGTACGTGTAATGCTCGGACTTTATCAATCTCGATGCAAATTGTTCTTGAAGCTATATCCATAGCTCGAGTTATTCTTGGATACAGCTGTTCTCAATACATTGCTTGGACTCTTGACTATGTTACAGACAGCGGGGTTCAAGTGGATATTCGTATTGTGTATGGATGGTCAGCGAGGTGGAAACGTTTTATTGATATACTAGCTCCATATCATCGGCGATGTAGATATGATGATATCGAGAAATTCTTTGAGTTATCGTGATCTTTCTTTAGCATCAGTCTGAATTCTAATGAATTCGTTTGTTTTCACCGTTCACAAGGCCGTGCGTGCTCGTGCTCGAGTTTCTGTGTTGTTGAATATTCCTTGGATTTTTGAAACTTTGGCACTGTCATCGTTGTCGCCATTGCTGATTGCTGATTGCTAAGCCGTGCCTTCTATTTGAATTTATTCGAAGGGAAAAAAGTATTGATTCCCATTTAGTATTAGGTATCTTACCCCTTTAGGCAAACACATATTCAAACTACCAGGGCTTAAAAATGCGGAATATAGACTATGTGAACGTGCAGATATAATATCATCACCTACCTAGTTACCATATACGACTAGAATAGATTCCTCGCAGCCATCACTAGAACTCTTACGTTGACCGCCTTTAGTAGCTTCATCGATATCTCAGCCTTGCTCTTCGATGTTCTTGGAAGGTAATTAAAGTGTTTTAGCTTTGGTATTTGGATTTATGTTAATCAGATTAGTGCTAGTTCTTCTTGAGAATTTATTTTGCTGTATGATAGGATGGATGGGATAGGATAGTATTTGTGGACATTTAGATGGAAGGTTTATTTATCTATTTATTGCCACTGGAAGATCGCTTGAGAAGGGATTGGAGGGTTAGTGTATGCTGGTGTGGACGGGTTACATGTGGTGAGTTTAGGGAGTTGATGATGTGAAGACTAGGGAGACTGGGGAGTGTGTGATGATTGGGATTGTGAATTTGATGAATTAGAGTGACGAGACAACGGATGTTTGAATGGGCAGATTATATGCTGCTACAGCACTTGAGGACTTGAATATTGATTGATATTTTTTATATTATACTATACTATACGTCTGCTCGGGTTTCTTAGATTCTACTCCCTTTATTTTAATCAATATTGATTAATAGTATAATTATGTCTTTGATATTTCGTTGAGGTTTGGAGAGGGGGACGGGGAAGGTGAAGGGGATAGGAATATGAATATGGATATGGGATATAATAATATGGTAATGTGGTAATATAATGATGATAAGGTGCTGGATGATCTAAAGTCGATGGTATTAAGTATGAATATAAATGAGTATATGTTTAACAACAAAAAGTATATTCTACAAAGAAGCAACGAGGAGAAGCGAAGCAAAGCGAGGAGAGAACAGAACAAAGCAAAACAGTAGATTCTTCCAATCACCCAAAAGTAGAAGAAAAGAAGGAACAAGGAATATCCCCTCCTAATACTGCGTGACTTGAATATGCAATCTCATATCGTACAATGATATACATAAACTTTACTCACTGAAAGTCTATCGTTATCTTACCTCAGCCTCCTGTATTTTTGGGTGCGTATACGTATTCGACGCGAATATTCTGCTACCACCACTACTACTCAAGTAATAGTTTATTTGCATACCATAAACGACAGATACCCGAGACATTCTATTACCGAGGAAGGAGTTTCGCATGCTAGGTATATTAAAACAAATATAAATAAATATAAAGACAAATATAAAGATATAAATAAGCCGGCGTTACGACGGGCGCTTATTTTATCTTACTGGGCGTGTAAAATGTAAAACTTAGATGGGGTAAAATACTGGGGAGGTTTATCTTCCTGGCGCTTAGAAGGAACTTTCAACTCGACGGAATGTCAAGTTAATTTTGGGTTTCTGATTGTGGGATTGAGGGAAGGGTAATTAATGATTGAATTATTATATTTTGCTAGGGACTAAGATATATATGTATTTTTTAATTCAAGAAAACTAAAGTAACAACTGCGAAAATAAAAAATAAAAAATCATTCATTGACTTCAATTGATTGATATGATAAGAAACTCCGAGATTCAAAGTCGTTTGGTTTTTCTTCGGAATAATTGATGATATATGAAAGTCCGAAAGACTGTGTTTAGAAATCCATCGATATAATCATATAAAAGAAAAAAAAAACTTAGATATATAAAAACTCAAGAGAACCTTGAAAGTTGAAACGACAACTTTCGTTTACATATTACGAGCGTCGAACGGAGTATAACCTCCTTTCTGTATCCGAGCTTGAGTTACGTATCTCCCTTCATGTGTACGAGTATTCTCCGAAGGAAATTTTAATTGAAGATCTTGATTTTGTTTGATGAGAAATCAAACGATTTCTTGAAATTCCTTTACATCATATGGAATGAACAATGACATGTGAGCCTGCGAGGATCCCGTCGTCCGTGATATCCGTTCGTAAAACTTGGATGCGGGTGTGTATGCTAGTCTTTTTATGTCCGCAAGACCAAGAAAGAGAGTACTCAGTAGAAAGGGAAGAATTAGTTGTGATTGGTTTTTTCATTTTTTGTTTTCAGAACTACTGAAAATAGAATAGAATTCCGCCAATGTAAAAATAACGTCGTATGCACTTGCGACTTAAATGATCTTGCCGTGGTTTTTGTTTGAGGAGGGCCTTGGATATACTCAGTATTGAAAACATCATTTCCCTGTCTCATAGAAAGTTGAATCAAAATCACGAACTCACCGCCTTCGCATCCCTTTTCCAACTCAAGGGATATCCCTTCTCAAAGAGTTTTCAGCAAGTTTCTAGAAAATTAATTTTTAGAATTTGAGAAACTAAGCGATGTGTCGTTAAGTTTTGAGAAAGGAGAATTGGGACAAGCAGTACCCTAGTTTTCCACGTGGAAGAAGTTGACAGATTGTTCCTTCAATCTTCTAGTCGCGGATCCATCGTACCATTTTTCTATGACTGGAACGTACCTTGCATAGCTAACGTATGGAATATCACAGTATGTAATTTCCCAAAGTTTGAGGTGCCTGGCAAGTGACGGTGCGGTGTAGGAGTTTGTCGGGAGGAGCGGTGGGTGAGCTTGGCAGAGGGGAACTAGGAGGTGGGTTCCTTTTTAGAATTGTCTGAGCTGTGACTCGTTGTTTGGAAGGATCGATATTTTGTTCCTTTAGATGGATTCAAAGTTCGGCAGGGCCATATCTGAGGCCTACGGGCTACCACCATCTTACCCGTGTTGCCTACGCCTATAACTACAGGCATACGTCTCAACGCATCAGTGATTCGTAATCCGAATCCCCAGATCTTCAGTGGCAAATTAGGAGTTTCAACGCCATCTATTCCAAACTTCAAGCCCCGAAACGAAAAAGGAAGTTGGTAAAAAAGAAACTTGCACATCTGTGTGTGAACATTCGGAAACTTCCTAAGAACCAGATCCTTGGTTGCGCCTTTTCCGAGTTTCCCATGATTTTAAAATACCGATAATATTCGGCGTCGATCAAAAGCCGAAACTTAATCCTCAGCCCTGAACCCTCGCGTTACTATAAACAAAATTCGGCGGAGACGAGTTTTTGCAGGCAAAGTATTTGCATGGTTTGGAATCTTGGGTGTAACTTGGAAATAAGTAAGTAAGTAAGCTTTTCATAGAAATCCATACAAGTAATATTCCTTTGGCCTCGATATTCCCTGCACACACTCCCGTCAGAGGATGCAAAACCTTCTAGAAGAAATTTGGAAGGATTTTTGTTGAGAACTCCCCCGTGCATGCATGCACCACATAATTCTGAAGACGTCAAGGAAGTTGGAAAAAGTAAAAAAATGGTATGCATGCAAAACATCAATCAGGGACCTGCGTTCGTATCTATGAACCTCAGAAGTACCGTTTGACTGCACGGAGTAAAAGGCAAAATGTAATTTATGATAAAACCCATGTGGAGATCATTTCTATCATTTGAGTGGCTGAGTACTTTTTCGTACTTTCTCGTCCTTTGTGCAACGGGACCCATCACCAGTGAGTGAGTGGGACTTGCAAGGCGGTCAAGTGGGTGGAAATGAATGAATGATATAAAATTACATACATGATAACAACATTCTCCAGCTCCACCATGAAATTTTAGGAAATTTCGCTTCTCGTCACCATTCGGCCTTCGCTCAATGAAATGATTGATTGGTCTTATCATTCATCCATGCATGCTTCTCTTCAAGAGTGGATCACCTCATCTGCCCCTCAGGAAAAGGGAGTTCGTTTGCCACCCGTGACGGCAGGTATTCTTCTGATACGGTATGTACATGCGAACGAACTCCTTTATTTCGCTACTGTCCAGTGTTACCTCACACCGACCGTTATTGGTAAATGGTATCTGCACCAATGATAAGAAAGCAAAAAAAAATAAACGAGATCTGAAGTTAATGAAGTTAATTGAGCTCGTGCGAAACATGAAACGAGTTCGCGGTGTTGTTTGCTTTTTTGTGTCCAAAAATTGTGGGTGCAGTGCTTATGCATGACAGTTTAGAGCATTCGCTTATCACCCTTCATTTCGCACTCACATAGTGACACAGTGACATAGCTCACTTATACATTTTGGCGGGTGTTTTCAACTCACCTCATGTCTCCTGGAAATTTCCGGAATGGGGTTTCAGATGAGTTTGATGCCGTACATACTTCAGGATGAAAAGATCACGGTCACGTTTTGGCATTGATGAATATAGTATCGCATCATCTTAAATTACTGTACAAGTACCTAGACAGTCTGTTGTGTTCGCTAATGATGTGCTGACGGGATGGTTGTGTGAGATTGAGGAATTTGTACGGAGTACAAGTACACTTACTTGCATGCGGAGGTGAGGAGGTATGGACCAGGGAAGAGTGACGTGACTGACTGCAATTGCCCTGATTATGATTGATTCTTTTCATGTATGCGTGCCAGGGCCATACGCAGGTACACAAGACATGGTGAGAAAGTGGATCAATGACCCTGATTTTCACAAATCTACAATTTTCTAGAATTTTTCAATGGGTTGATCGATCCGCTAATTCATTTTTGAATCATGTTGATTGGATAAATTTTGCGAGGTTGTTTCGTGATTCGCTGTTTTGTTAGTCATGGCATGTAAGTTTGAAGTGCTTGGTATGTGGGGATGACCAGGACGGAGCGGCCGAAATGGATGGTTTTGTGAAGATTATTTTACTTGTGAAGATTGAATGTTGGATTTTGGATATTGATGAATCTTATACAGAGTATGCTTGTGCTTAAACTTATGCATAAGGAGTTCAGGGGTTCAATAGAGCGAAACTTCGGGTAGAAGTTCAGATGGCAGATTTGTTGGCGCCGAAGCTTAAGATTTGTTTTGAAGTTTCGGCCATGAAGAGACGGACTTACCGATTTTATCTTCGGTTCATACTGAATCCCCATAGCAAGCTTTCATCAAAGTTAAAGTTACATGGTGAGGACAAGTATCATGCAGAAGCGCCGTGGATAGGCACATGAAGGACAGTGCGTTATCAAAACGTTAAGCTATTGATTCCAAGATCTTGGGAATGGCATATTCCGGTCCAAGCTGAAAGATTGGAAATTCAGACCGGTGGTAACCCGATCGACAACACATCCTCTCCTCTCCATCTCGAATTTTCCATGCGATACCAAAGATGTCAATATGCTAAAGCGTAGCGGCCGAGGTAGAAAAGCTTGATAGCAAGTGGACATGAAAAGTCTGAGAGCAAGAAAAAAAAGATGTATGCAAGCTTAACGATTTTTGATCTCTTCGTCGACATCACGGAGTTTATTCAATAGTGGACGAACCATTATGAACTATATTTGGAGATATTGGAGCTTGGCATGAATAATAATCATGAAATGATATCAAACTCACCGCCTTGAGAGAGATCTATTGAAAAAATATTCTCCTAGGGCCAAATCTAGCGCTGGAAGATGGGCCAGGTAGTGACGTTTCCTTGGGGAAATGTTGGACATAAGATATATCACCATCATTAAACATAGCGGTATAGCGGTGAAGGGATTCCATCCTCTTCCTTACTAGGCGCCAGTAGATAGGGAAATGGAAAAGCTTGTCGACAGCGCTCCGCTGTTGCATCACGATGTACTGATTTTGAAACTCTGTTCTCCGCATCGGAACATCGTACGGTAGAATTTCGAAGTTGGAAAGAAAATTCTTCGTATCGACAGGCACAGGTCTGATCATGGAGGTATCATTGTTGAATGATTTTGATACTTGGGCCCAAACGGGTAAAGATAAACCCCCATTTGAAGACATTCATTACCCGAATATACCGACCCGTTCTATAAAAATGATGCGAACAAGTCGAAATAAATGAACCCTTGTTTGTACTCCAGGGCTCATTTTCGGTTATCGAGAAACTTGTTGAGATGAAAGGGAGGGAGATGAAAGGGAGGAGAATGATCTCCTCTTTTTTGGAAAAAGCCGTCAAAATCGCGAAATTAATGCCCGAGAGCTCAGATAGTGACAGGTGCCATGGGAACGATGCAAGCAAAGAGAAAATCATCAATTTGCGCGACAAACGCTGGTGGGCACTGAGCATTGAGCATGAAAGAAAAAAAGCGATCCTCATTTTATCTCCGCAAGCTCTGCAAGACTATCCTGTTTGAGAACGGGAGTATCCTCATTGAGAAACGGGCAAGGCCTCTTTTAGACAAGCCATCTGGTAAGAATATGGAAAAGGATTAGTAGATATATGATTTCAATAACCTCAAAACTTCATCTCCACTTGCGACCTCCATGCTGGGAGAGGAGTTAGAGGAGGAGCGCAACATCGGAGCAGAGAACATCCGTTTCTGCCGCTTCGGTACTCGCAGGTAGTATGAACTATGGGGTGGATGTGCAAGGGATATTCTTTTCAATTTGCGCGACAAACGCAGGGGCTGGGGTTACAATGATTTATGTGACTCGCCTCAGCCTTGTGTCAGGGGGTTGTCTACTTTTCTACTTCTAGCGAGAAAAAAAGATCGTAAGTTTCTTTTGCCAATCCACTCTCGATTTGTCCAGGTGACTTGCGATCCTAGACTTGGCATTTTAAGTTAATGGGCCCTATGGAGCTATGGAGATGGGATATTTAATTATGAAATTTTCACATGAAAAAGGTGATTACGAGAAACTAGATCGATCATAGATATCTTGGGTTCGTATTTTCCGATAAGAGAATTTTCTTGACAAGAACTCGAAGGGATTGGAGTTGAAAATACGTAGCCAGTCCAGCTTAGACCATTCCCTGATCATAACTATTGAAAATCAAGCCCTATGTCTTTCGTATCCCGAAATGTCGGAGTGCTTGGTTATGTGCTCAGCCACTTTTGCATGATGGGTTCCAAATCACAATGAGATGAACGCGGTCACGCATCTCAGTCGTTGCGGGAGTATTCGGAATTATGGGCTGGAGAAACAATTAACATCTAACCCATCTTTTGTCCAACACGCTCTTTTCATTCATACTCAGGTACCACACGCCTCCCGAGAACGGTGATGCGAGAGGTAAGATGGTGGACGGGAAGGGCAAAAGGAAATCTATCAATTCCACGTTTTAAACATGGATGGGTAAATATCGGAATACGAAATGTATGCGCAGCAGTATTTAGCCAGATCTACTTGTGCATGCATGCTTAGATATTTCGAGGTAAATAGCCATGATGCATATTTAGAATTTGCGCGGTACTGTTGTTGGATTGATGCATGCACACAGCTTTTTTTAATTGAAAATGATGAAAATGTATGGATGGTATCATCTACTCTGTATCAACCAATCATTTCCTATGGTTTAAGTGCGGGTATGCATGCATTGCTATCTGAATTTAGATATCTTGTACTATACTCATGATCGATCATCGAAGACAGCGGTTCGAGAAAAGGGGGCCAAAACGCAAAACTAAGCTCATTGAAATGCGTTTGTGTGTTTGTTTTGGACGCAGACAGCGACCTTGAACCGTTGAAGTTTCCCGTTTCAACCACGTACCTTGATGTTGGTACCTACGATGGCTCATGATTGATCAAAGTACGAATGACGCTTACAATCAAGAGTTTTAGCTGGTAGAGTGTAGTATAGTGTAGAATAGTATAGTGAGATCGGGAAAGACACGGGAGGAAGTGCGAGGGGAAACAAGGGCCATAGTCAATTTTGCGTCGGCATGCGATCTCACCAGGAACGGAAACACTCCAACACCCCACATTTGATATCATCATGGGCCATGGCATGCCATGGCTTGACCTACAGGCTACAAAAGGAACTAGGTATGAAATTGGTCATTGGTTATTCCGGTTGATATTGAGCGACGAGGCGAGGATGAGTGGTGAGTGATCATATGATGAATTTCTTGACTGATAATCCGTAACAAGTTGCAGCCTTGAAAAGACTTGGAACTTGGAAAGATACAAGCTGAGGCGTAGCGTCCTACGTACTAATGGCATCGAGCGTCAGCACGGAAAAAGGTACACGAACTTACAAGGCTGGGTGATTGCTTGGTTTTGGTAGGCTGAGAACCTGGAGATGCTTTTTATTGGGTGTTGCCTACAACTTTATGGAATACAGTCAGCACTATGCCGATCCCAACCCAGCAAAACTCGTGGGAACTATTAATGAATTTGGTGTTGATTGACAATCAAGTCAAGAATAACAAATGATGTGATGGCAAAATACAAACCGAAAAATCCTCAGCTAAACTTTTCTATGATGTTATCTTTTCTTTCCAGTCATTCATTCCTTATTTACCCGAATTCATTAGACAGAGGTATTTTATCA